AAACCCCAAGGAGCCTCGAATTTCCATACCCTAATGGAAGCGCTCAGTCGTCAGATGGAAAAGGGTTCAAGCGTACTTTCATCAAGGCAGTACAGCGATTCCGGAGAATGTCATCATTTGACTGAGGCCAGGAGGCAAAACGTATACGTGTTTGACACGGGGGGTTTGTGGATACTCACCTTTAGCTCCTCCAAGCTGAAGCCCCTGCCGGCTCGCACTTTGGTGTGGTACCTCACCGTGGGGCATCTCACTATGGGCCGGATAGGTCCGGACGCTGGACGCGGGGCGATACGGCGTGCTTTCGCTTGCCGGGCCTTGCGTCTAAGCAGAGAGGGCAGGAGACAGTTACCGCACCCCAAGGCCGATTTCCCTCCCGTAACGGGGTGTCCTCTATCCTGTACCACAGCGGGGACGCGGAGACCGCAGACAACGTCGCCACCCGCTCGCCCCCAACCACACCATTACAAACTCGACTCTAACGTGGAACTACAAGGCCCTTACGGTTATATGGTCAGAGGGCTCAAGCACAGGATACAGAGATTCCGGACACTAGTTACTTGGCTGCATGCTCCACATACCCCCTCACCTGCGGATCTTCCGCGCCGGCTGGTTAAACCACGTGGCAACGCGCCGCTGCCAGTCCTTGTGGAAGTGGGGCTTTAGAATCATGCCATTTCGGCTGGGCGCCATGGCTGCTGCCTACGGGCCTAGGGAGGAAAGCGAGTCAGGGCCCGAACTCCGGCCGGACGGCGTGCCCACAGTACCAGGCAATGGCCCCGTGCCGTCTGTGGCGTGGCCTTGCGCCGATGGCGGCGGATGGAGCCCGATGGCACCCGATGGTCTCCACCAGAACCAAGATTACACATACCCAACTTCCCCGAAGGCGAACCACCACCGGAAAGAGAGTTGTGCCGCAAAGCACTTCGGGATGGTAATGGGCCCGGCCAATCAAAACGCTAAGGCGTTGTAACCAATCAGAGCCGGGTATCACGGAAGTGATGTAAGCTCACTTCCAGGCGCCCTTGCGGCCACCGGTTGGACGCGGAAGGTAACCCACCGGAAGAGGACCGGGAGGGGTGGGTTCGGCGAGATCCTGGCAGCGCCTGGACTTCCAAGCTTATACACGTTACGGGAGTCGGTACGTTTTCCTAGCACCTAAAGCCTCGTTCTCCGTGTCCCAGTCTTTTGTCCCTCTCATCCATTTGGTACATTTTGTGAATCCTTTAGACAAAACTAACACAGCGGTTGCTGTAAGCGGGCCAGCCAGTACTTCCCGTGGAATCGTACTACTGCTTCTGCTCGGCGGAGGGATCGGGTAACTTCTCTGAGGTAGAACAGCCGGTAGTAAGTTGGTGGCACTAAAAATCCACCGGGCCGACTGCGCATGTCCCGCTTGCCACCACTTTACGTACTGCCTCCCTCACGGAGAACATCATAAAAAAAAATTAGGTAGCCGGACATACATCTGTAACCTGTGCCTTTTGAGTCTCCTCTTCTCTAGGACAAACCTGGGAACTCTCTAACACCGCACTGCTATTTGTAATCCTTTACATCCCGGTAAGCCTCTTTCCCACCCTCACCCCCAATCACCAAACTTCCTCCTAGCAAAACTTAACATTTAAGAATTTCGTGACAACTCTGACCGGCCTGACCTGGGTTCCTGGTCAGGAAATGCATCTGGGTTGTGGGCCAGGTATCCGATTGGAGGCGTGCCAGAGGCAACAGATCAGTGTTTCTCTCCCTTTTGCCCTCTTCTCTGAAAATAAAAATCTTAAAAAAAAAAAAAAAGGATTTCATGACACAAAATGAGAAACGTGGAGGCCTCTGCCTTGCACCGAGTAAAGAGGTTCCTGATAAAGTTTTCTTTCCTCTTGGGATGTCCTTGGGTGTTAGAAATATCAGGTTATGACCAAGAAGACAGAACATGTGTAACACATGAGGCACACACAGTCTTTTCAAACAAATGCACTGGGCCTATATGGGAAGTTCAAACCCTGTGCCCATTTAATAGACGCGTGTTCAGTTACGAAACTAAGGGCAAAAGCAGCCCTAGTTTTCTCAATTTCTCAGACCACCGCACCATGGACTAAGTAAGATATCTTGCTTTCCATTCTGACCTTCCTGTCCCCCCATTCCTGATTCCTCTTTCTGGACAGTCCTTCAACTCCTCCTGCCCTAACCCTCACCTCCACCTGAGCTCCTGCTGCTCATGGTTCAGAAGCTCTCCTGGGTAACAGGGTGGGGGTTAGAGGTCTGAAATTGGAAACACTTCAGGACATACTCAGTGGTATAATAGGGTGAAGTTATCATTTGAGGACTTTATTCTTCTGCACATAACCAAGCCAGACACAGAATCCAGTTTTTCATGCTTGAATACTCCATACTTAACCTGCTTTGAAAAGCATGCAAAATAGCCCAAAAAAGTTCTGATAGGGAAATCCTGCTGAAAACATGCCAACTTTCCCACTGGGAAAGGTTAAACAAGAGAACTGTTATGAACTGTCATGCAAGAGTCCTTCTATACAAAGTCTTGGCTGCCTCAAGGGGTTTAAAAATCTTTAGTTATAGGGACAGCCCATCCCTTGGTACAAAAACTCCACAGCCACAACTCAAGGGCTTTTGTCCCAGGTATAAACATGAAAGTGCTAATGCCCCTGGAAGCAGAGCCTAACTAAGGGGGCCCAAGATTCCTGGATGTGCCCTTGGACGTGTGGGAGTATACTCAGCACACCCAGAATTTCCTTGCAAGACCAAACCCCGGTTACTCGTGACTGCCTGCTCATTGCGCATGTGCACTGACTGGTCTCCATCTGGTGCTTTGAGGGTCAGCCTCAAAGGAATCAAAGACAGTCAACAATAGCTTCTGGAACCCTTTCAGACACAGTCCTGATCTTTTAAATTATTATCATAACAGAAAAGTGATTTGATAGGGTTTTTTTAGGGGGTGGCGGGGAGTCACGTCCCTATAGCACTTTGCAAAACTTAACATGTTAATTTTGTCACATAAATTTGGGCCAATGATTAAATTAGGCAAAGCAGTTAGCCTAATAACAAGAACAGGATAACATACTGTTTCTTCACCATCCAGTCCTAAACTTTCCAAAATCATGGCCTAAACATAAATCAGAGGCTAACTCAAAGGTTCCTGTAATATGAGAAACACATCAGTGAAAGACAACTGGAAATACATCATGATTATAAATGTTTTGTTTGAAAGTGGCTAAGAGTCTTAAAAGTTAACATCACAGAAGATTCTTTAACTGTGTGATGGTGACTGTTAGATAGTATCATTTTGCAATATATAAAAATACAAATCATTACATTGTACACCTGTAACAAGTGTATTTCAATTATACCTCAATAAAGAAATTTAAAAAGCAAAAAAAAAAATCACATTTATTTGTGAGTGTGGAAGAACAATTTGTATTGACTCAAGAACTACAACTTAATTTTTTTATTTAATGATTTTCTTAGGCTCTCTCTGCTTGTGTTAAATATACACATTTATTTAAAGAACGTGTTTATCTCAATGAGATTTCACATGCCTAACTTAGACAAAAGACAGTTCCAGAAGCTGTAATCAGGCCCTGATGTACCGGCTCTGCCAGGTGGCAGGCAGAAGGTCAGGGTTTTGGTCCCAGCATCAAGCACACAGGTTGCCGGGTTTCATCTGGCTGCTCCAGGGACCATGTGCTGTTGCTGAAGCCTCTTCATCTTGAGAATCCACTTTAAAGGAGGTGTAAGCATCACCCACACATGAGATACAGGAGGTGTAATTCCTGGCACTTCTCAAATGCCATGTTTCATGACAGGAAGGTGACTTAATCTGACCAATCAGAGTCAAAGTCAGCAAACAACTATCAATCAGAGCACATAGCAACCCCCCAGTGGCTGAGGAGCCCTGAGTTCACTCACACCAGCAAGTGCTGGGAAGCCAGCTACAACTTCCCCCACTATAGCAAGGCAGCCCTTTCATGTATTTACATCCTCTTCCTGGCTAAGCATCTTCTGATGCTCAGCAAATGATTTTCCAAAGGATGAACAGACATGGGCCATTTTAATGTATAAAAGAAGGAATGAGCTTGACTATATCCACCATTACAGGATAAAGGATACCACATGCAGGCCAAGACACCAGCAAGAATTCTCACTGTATGCAGATCTTTGGAAATGAATTGAGGAACTGGGGCAAAGGTAAAAGTGTCCTCAAAAAGTCATGCTCTCAGAGCTGCCCACCCTCAGGTGTGTAACTGTACTTGGTCGTTTTCTTGGCACTGAGTGAGGAAGCAGGAACAGAACCACCACTTTGTCAGGAAGTATCCATAAGCCATGGCTCCAAATGCCACCACACAGGGTGGCAGAAGTGATGAGAGCAGCTGGCAGGAGTACCTAAGTGCATGTTGCATGCACCCAAGGAGATGGGAGCTGAGTGGACTTGCCTGTCTTGCAGTGACAGGATATCCTAGGCCCAGATTTCTACAAAAGGGGTTCTCCAATTGCTGAAATTATAACCTGCACACACATAATCCCGTGATCCAGAAGAAACCTAACAGCCCCTCTAGGTTAGAGCTGGACACATGGTACAAAGTTGGATTCTCCACTGTGAAGTATCAACAGTCCTCAGCTATCCCCCAAGTGGCGTCACTAGACCAGTGAGGAGAGGTTCTTGTACGCATCCATCCACATGGCAGTAGGTGGCAGTGTTTTAATCCTCTACAGCCTGCCCCCTATTCTGTAACCCAGTTGAGGACTGAGGACAAGGACATTGACTCAGTGCACTTTCAAAGAGGATCCTGTTAGCATACTAACGAAGTCACAGGAGCTGGGCTAAGCCCCTGCACAAGCTCTGTCATGAGCTTGAGTGCTGAGCTGCCCCTAGATCCACCCAGCACCCACGAAACAAGTGTCAAAAACCTGGGAACTCCACGCACACACCTATAACAAGTACTGACACCCCTCCCCGTGGAGGAAAGCGATCTACAAAAAGCAAAACTAAACTGTTCTCTGCAAAGTCTTTACTAATCACAGGTAGAGAAACCAACAGATCTCCGAAATCCTTCAGCAGGGCCCAGTGAGGGCTATGAGGAGGTACAAGCCTCAGGTGAAAAGGAACTTGAGGGACAGCTAAGAGTTCACTTCCAGGGTCCAGCTATTTGGGCTAAGATGGCTCCTCGCCTCGCAGCGGGGGATGCTGAGGCTCCTCCTCCTCTCCAGCATCTTGCTTCTCCTCAGCGTCACTCCACCTCAGAGGTGCAATCATCTTCTTGGGCCCGTGAGGAGGTGGGCCGATGAGGGCCTCGATGTCATCGTAGTTTATCACTTCCTTTTCCAGCAGTGCATTTGCCAGCTAGGAGGAACAAAGGACAGTGTGTGAACCCCAGAGGCCAAGGACACAGACAAGAGGCTTTTGAGAGCAGAGCACTGAGAAGGAGGGGCCCCTCAGCCTCCCAGGAAGGGGATCTGTGAGCAGGATGCCCCCAGACAGACCACTTTCCCAGGGAAGCAGCGCACACAGGCAGCTTAAGCAAAGAATCACTCCCTGTTTCAACCTTGGAGATGATTTCCCAGCTGCAGCTTCATTAATTTTCTGCTTCCCTTCCAAATCTCTGCTTGCTTATATGGGACTACTTCAATGTCTTTTACCAAACAAGGTGTGTATGTATGGAGGTGGGAGGCTGAGATGCAGAATATCCTCAATGGAGTCTGGGGAGAGGAATGCTGGCGCTGAGGTGTGAGCTGGGGGAACCTCACAGTTTGGGAAGGGGGCCTTGCTTCTCTAGATGTGGTGGTGGAATACGTGATAAATGAACCCTGTGGGCTTCCTGCTGCTCAGTCCCTATTACAAGGAATGCTGCCACAGCCACTCAGACTGATTTTTGTCACCCCCAAATTGGGGTGACCACTTCCTCTGTGTGACTGCTCTAATATATTGCTAAGCACTATACCCCACTGATGGTGTGACATCCTCAGCCCACCACAGGGAGCCTGAGTCCTGTCCAGTGGTAGCAACAGTGCACACATTTGACACCAAGGACCTTGTTAATGGCAGTTTATGGCTCTGCGGGTCAGGGAGGCCTGACATTCTACACTGCTCACAACTCCAGGGAGGCTAGTGCTGCTGGTCTGCAGCAACACTCGGAGGACCCGACACGCACAATTCCCAAGATGGCAAAGCCGCACATTAATCAAACAGCAGCCCATCCGTTGAAGGCTGCCCACCTGAACTAGAGACACAGTTGCTTCAACTCTGGGGCCAAGAGGCGACCCCAAGCCAACACCTAGTCTTACCGTGAGAACCACAGGCCCACCCTCCAAACACTGCCATGGCAGGCTGCCTGCCGACAACAGAAAAGTGAGGGGCTGCCCCAGCCGACAGGAGCCTAGGGAGACATTATAGATAAATGTAAGCAGGCAGGGAACAGGAAAAGGACATTAGGGAAAAGCCAAGGAAACTGAGTTAATAATAATACATCAACATTGGTTCACTGGGTGGTGAGAAATGCAACATACTAATGGAAGATGTTAACAATAGAGATAACTGGGTGTGAGGTATAAAGGAACTCTCTACTATATTTGCAACTTTTCTGTAAATCTAAAACTATCCTAAACTTTAAAATTTATCTTAAACTTTTCAGGAGACGTTTGAGTTAGAAAAAGATTACACAACACTGACCAGACATTAATAACTGCTGATGCTGAGTAATGGACACATGAGGGTTTACTACGTTCTTCTGTCTACTTTAAAGGAACTGACTTGACATGTTTATAATAAAATACTAAAAAATGGGAATTATTACATTTCAGTTGAGTTGGGTGAACACATACTGGATATGGCATTTCCTAAAGTTCTGTGTTCATCAGAACTAGTCCAGGAAAGAGTGACCAACTATGCCCGAGCAGCGTGGTGACAGTCAGCATCCCCACATTCTGGAGAGACAGGCGGGACACCAGAGGTCAGAAAGCACCAGGACTCACCGCCTGCAGCTTGTCCAGATTGTCCTGCAGCACCTTCTCTGTGTGCCTGTAGGCCTTGGCTACCAGCAGTCGAGCTTCCTGCAAATGAAGGAGAGATCTGTAATGAGCACTGCTGACCACTACTCACAGTGTCGTCTACAGGCTGGCTCTGACACCAAATCACACCAGAAAAAGGCAGGTTCAGAAACACAGCCTTTTGTCTTTCACAATGACCAGGAGAGCTCTGCTGCCAACAGTTTCCCGCCCCCACCCACGCCTGGGAACGCCCTAGCTCCGGATGCCTGCCCACCAGCGGCCATTCACACCCACAGATGCCCCACTGGCTCCTGGAAGCCAGGGACCCTGTGTCGGTCCTCCGGGACCTGCAGCTGCTTCACACGCTCGTGCACCTACGGTTTCATCAGGAGCCTCACAAGGCCTCATTCAAGACTGCACACTCAGCAGGTCAGAGCGACAGAAGCCAATAGGAACAACCACAATATGACCGCTCACAGGGCTAAGCACAGTGGGAGGCTCCTCTGAATAGAGATTTGCCCCCTACCACCACTGTGAGGCGGGACAGAGCAGAGTCCCATACAAGGTGCAGCTGCAGGGGCTGGGCACTCACGTGATCCATCATCTCCTGGAGGCCCTGGCTGAAGGGGCGCCGTCCAACACCCATAAGGCCCTCCTGAGCCTCAGGAAAAGAGATGGGCCCAATGCTCGGTGCCATCCCAAACTGCTTCACCATGGAATAGGCGATACGAGTGACCTTCCTCAGGTCGTCCTGTGCCCCTGGAGCACGGGGCCGAGAAAAGGTTTCTTTGCTGAGGGTGCAGAGTCAGGACACCTTGGGGAACCCACTGGCACACACCTGGGCCTCAAAGCAGATGCAGCGTCCCCAGAGAACAACTGTATCCTGTTACTGTTCTTTAAAAGAGAGAGTCTCGAAACTTTTTAAAATGCTGCTCTGTTTAAAAAATTACTCTGGCCCTGGCCAGGTAGTTCAGTTGGTTAGAGCATCATCCGGGTATGCCAAGATTGCAGGTTCGATCCTGATCAGGGCACATACAAGAATCAACCAATGGATGCATAAATAAGTAGAACAATAAAAATCGATATTCATTTCTCTAAAATCAATTAAAAAATTTAATAAAAATAAAAAAATAAATACTCAGGGTGCATATTTGCATTCACTTCACCAACAGTTAGTCTCCAGCACAAATCCAGGTGTGCATGGAGCACACTTATCAACACTGAATCTCAATGTCAGGGTTCAGGCAGGGAGCATTTTCCGCCTGCTCTCTGGACATCACAGTGAAACAGCAGCTTGAGAACAGTGAAGGTGCTTAAATTACCAATAATTAACCAATTAAATGCACTTATAGTCTATAATACATGTATGTAAATGTCTTTGTAACCATTATTTAATAAGTCTTGCTTAGTTTCAAATCTCCTTTGACCATAGCTTATCTTTTAAAAACACTTAATGAAATTCAAGGTATATTTGCATCCTACTATTCAAATCCCCCATCAGATCCCCTCTCACCCCCCTAGCAGAGGGATAATGGATGCGAAAGCACTGTGAGAACTCCAGACCCTCCAGGGCCAGCTCCTCACCAGAAGTGACCTTGTTGAAGGAGATGGTCTCCGATACACGGCCACCCAGGGCCATGCACATCCGCTCAAAGAGCTGCTCCTTGGTGAAAAGGTGCTGGTCTCTTGGGAGCATCTGAGCAAAGCCCAGTGCAGCATTTGTCCGAGGGGCGATGGAGACCTGCAGAATGTCAGATGGCCGAAGTTAGCAGGCAGGATGTGGGGTTTATTTATTTATTTTCTTTTATTGATTCTAGAGAGAGGGGAAAGGAGGGAGAAAGAGACAGAGAGAAACATAAATGTGAGAGAGAAACATAAATGTGAGAGGGAAACATCAATTGGTTGCCTCTTGCACTTGCCCGCACTGGGGACCAAACCCACAACCCAGGCATGCACCCTAACTGGGAATTGAAACGGCAACCTTTCACTTTGCAGGATGATGCCCCACCAAGCCATACCAGCCATGGCAGAATATGGGGTTTAGAGATGAAGGTGGGGCATTGTAAGATCTTTAATCAGTCCTGGCTGGTATGGCTCGGTTGGTTGGAGCATCATCCCTACTGAGAGGTTTCAGGTTCCATTCCTAATTGGGGCATATACCTAGGCTGCAGGTTGGTTTGATCCCCAGTCCAGGCACATAAGATCCCCACTGTGGGCACATATGGGAAGCAACAGATCGATGCTTCTCTCTTGCATTGATGTTTCTCTCTCTCCCTTCCTCTCTCTAAAAGCAATGAAAAAATTTCCTCAGGTGAGGATTAAAAGAAAAAGACCTTTAATTAGAGGGTTTCAAAGCCATTAAACAAATTTGCACTATCTCCATTTTTATATGAAGATTCCACCGTTAAAGAAAGCAGCTCATACATGGTGGGTGTGTCTTCCTTGCACATCACTAGGTATATATGAAGTAAAGAACAACAAAGACAGGACCTTTAGGTAAACCAATAAAGAAATGCAGGGACCAACACCACCAAGGACCCCCCATCATGCGATTAGATGAAGGATATGAAAACTATCCTTGCCTTGGCCTCACCCCACAGCCCAGCACCAGGTGTGGGTACAGCTCCAGCAGGACAAAGCGTGCTCCTGAGCAGTAAGGAGAGACCCGGGCCGCAGGCGCCAGTTCTGAGGGCTATGGCAGCAGGAGAACCGCCTCACAATGCCCTGAGAATTGGAGGGTGAACTTAAATCTAACACTAAAGTAAACTGCAACTGAAAAGGCTGTAAATTAACCACCAAAGAGCAATGGGAACCTCATCTTCCTACCAAAGCATGAGCCTTCAGCCTCAGGAGGGACATTTTCTCATTATTGTAACAGTGGGGAATTGTAACCCACCCTTGCCTCTTAAAAAGAAACAACTTTTTAAGTTGTTTCTGTAAGTGCTGACTCTGACTGATAAGTAGTTTGTAGATAAACAGCATGTTTGTATAACAATCCTAGGAACTAACTTCGAAAGATACAGACTCAGACCCTCTTCAGTCATCACAGCCCCAGGAGATTTGCTGACCTTCTATCATGGAGCCAGGATGACCAAACCAGGATGATGCACTCTGGACCATCACATGCCTTATCGCAGTGAACGGTGGTGGTCTGCACATAGAGAACTCTTCACTCCTCTGCCCTCAATCTTTGTTTTGCTTCCTCTCTCCCTCCTTACAGAAACCTCTGCCTGCACTGAGTTGTTAAAATGGGCTTTGGGACATGAGTCCTCGATCTCCTCAGGTGGTTAGCACTTGAATAAAACACTTTCTGGCTCACCAGCACCTGCCTCACGAGTTTGGCTTTCACTGAAGTGACAGGTAGGTGGACCTGTGTTCAATACACTGTGACTAGTTTATGACTTTCAGCCATCAAATAAAGCAAAAATTCAGAGAAAAATAAATTTAAAATTGTGGTATTTACTTCAATGTGGATATTTCTGCATTAATATTTTTGAGATACTGCATTAAAATATTTATCCTGATTACTGAATTTTTTTAGTGTCCCATAAATATCATACCCTAAATGACTTCCCCACCTGCCTCATCCTGGGCCCGGCCCCTATCACCTACCTCAGTGACTGCTACAACCACTTATCTCTGTCACAAAATATGAGGCTCAACCCTCTGATGAACACATAAAAGGAACTGGTCTGATCAGCAGGACATCATCAAACAAGCAGACAATCAATGCTTGTCAGACATTAAATACTAACATACCAGGCTGGCAACTGCTACATTGTTCCCAAGTTTTGGGTCTTAGGGAACTGCAATGCAGATCCTTTCCGGCTGGCAGAACCAAACCACTTGCAACTGCCAGTGACTCTACTTACTTTGGTGGAGGGCACAATTATAACCCATACCCTTACCTTTACAAACTGGACACCCACATGCCAAACGCTTATATTTTCCTTAATGAACATTCAAGGATCTCATGGTCAAGAGCCTGCACATTTTGGGGAGCTGTCTATGATACTTTCATCTGATACAAATAAATTTTCATCAAACTCACAAATATCTACAAAAGTAGTGTTTTTTAAAAAGTGACTCAGCTCACTTCTTTTTAAGATTACCAATCATATCAACACATTTTACAGCTGACAGTAGAGCTTGGTAGTTCTTCATTCTGAGACTGACTGTAGATGGGGAGCAGGGCACCAAATGGTCATGTGGCTTTCCAATGGTCATGCCCAGAACTGGACCCCACCAGTTTAGATGTAAGACCTCGTCCTGCCCTCTACTTCCAAGGTGAGAGCTCCTGCAGTCGTCTTCCACCTGACCCCAGATCCACCTTGGGCTGTACTTTGTCTTCACCAAGCACAACCACACGGCGCTCCCAAAGTCAGCTTTGTTCAGGGGCCAGTCAGGCTCACTCTCCAAAACCCTAGACCCTCCCTGGCTTCCACCCTCCAACACCCTACCTTCATCACAGCCTCAGTGTGCTCCAGCAGCCAGCCAACCAAAGCATGGCCTGACTCATGAAACGCAACCACCTTCTGCTCTTCCTTTGAAAGGATCTTACTCCTTTTGGCCGTCCCTGGAAGCAAGAACACCCAGGACTCTGAGTTCAGGCCCACTGATAATCCTGTGTAAGCATGCAAGAAACTTCCTCGCTCAACCTTGCAAGTTTTTTACTGTTGTTAAAGTGAGATCCTCATGGGACATTCCCCTCCTGTGTTTCTGCCCCAGGCTGACCCCTTCCACAACTATTCCTCACTATTACTCCAATTTGAAGGAAAACTCATTAGGTAGGAGAGGTGGTGGAGGGGGCTGGTGTTTGTTCACATTTCTATAAATGGTAGAATAATCCAAAAAAGCTCCTGCAGGCTTTCTGGGTGGGGCTGAAGAGCTGACAGGATTAAAAGGGCTCCGCTCCAAACTCTAGGTTTCTTGTTGGCTTTTCTCCCAGAACTTGCAGGGCTAACCACAGCCCTTGTGACTCCACAGTTCTTTCACCCTTAGCAGCCGACTACCTCTTGTCATGGTGACTTTACCTTACGTTTCGCCTGTTCATATTACTGCTGAAGTTTCATTCACTATCTCAAATTTGCCAAACATCCCCCAAATTTCCATTTTACACAACCTGAATAAGCTCTAGGTTCAGGGTATTTAGTATATCAAGCTACTAGGATCACCTACCACGTTTACCAAAAGGTTATAAATTCTTTCTAAAATGCACTGGTTGTGGCAGATGAATCATTTCAACCAGAGCTAATTATACGAGCCTCAAAATATGAGATCACAGCCTCATAAGACAGGCTTTACCTGAATACAAATGTGTTCCTGGCAGGATGTCTCAGGCAGACCACTCCAAATAAGTAAAAGAGAGTTTGTCTTGTTCTAAGCTCTGCATACATGGGGCGGGGGGGTGGGGGGGGTGGGGGGGTGGGGGTTAGTATTCTATTAGTACTGTCTTTGGTCTTTCCTGCTTTGATGATATTACTATAAGCTATGAATTTCCATGTAAAAGTAAATGGCTTATAAAAAAACAAAATTTATAGTAAGAAACAGCGACTTTAGTTCCTTCTGTCTACACAAGAGTGCTTCTTTCCTAAGCCGCAGACTGGGAACCTGGTGACATTTGTTCTAGACTTGAACTTAAACCGAGGGTGATGGGAACATGCTTCTTGCAGAGACAGCTTAAGACAAAGGGCTCACTGCCCACACAGAGGGCACGTGCTTCTCAGACACCTGTGGGAAGGACCAGTTTCCCTTTTTAAAAAAACATCCAGTGTCTTGACTGACACTTTTGCTTTGAACCCTGTTCAGAGACTAGATGCATTGCTCATGTCTGGATGTTGCCACATGGAGGTATGGAAGTTCCAAATGTTTCTCTCAGTTTCAGTCCTACTCTCATAGAGGCCCCCGGACCCCACATTGAGCAGCAATGGTTAAGTACTGCCAAGAGGCACCCCAGCCCTCCACTACCCAAATGCCTCTCCCACTCCTGTCCAAGCAGAGGACATGAGCTTCAGCAGAGACAGAGCTGACCAGAGCACAGCCCTCAGCAGACATCCCCCTTGTCCTTGGGCAGTAGCAGTACAGACCCCTGACGACATGCACACTGGCCTGTCCATTTGCAGTTGGCTCTTGGGCATCACATGATGGCTAATGGGCTGAGTGCCACTCACATTTGGGTTTGCAAGATTCTTTTATATTTCTATTTGAAGAGTGTCTGCTCTTAAGCAAAGCTGCAGTATTTTAAGCTATGCAAAAGTAAGTCACATTGTAAAGTCCTGATTTATAAAAAATAGAAATACTTTACATAGTTCCCTCTTTGCTGATAAGGTCCACTGTGTGACATCTAACCCCGATGTGCTCCCTCCACCCCACCCTCGAGTTCACTTGTGGGATCCGTGCCTCATACCCGCAATGACGCGCTCCACAGCATACTCAAAGTTAAACGTGTGGACAGATGTGTGCCCTTCCCGGGCAGCGTGCAGGGCAGCCTCATTACAGATGTTGGCGATGTCAGCACCTGCCAACAAAACAGGGGAGGGCAAGAGTGTTGGCTCAGTTCCCTCAAGGGTTGAGGAGGGAAGGGAAGGAGTGGACCACGAGCAGATGAAGAGGGGTAGGGGAGTGGTGCAGGAGGGAAGGCATGGTGAGGGCCAGGCGCCAGTGCTCAGGCCCTGCTGGACCCGAAGAACCATTTCTTCACATTCACTCCAACCTCTTTCAGTCTGTCTGCCTTCCCCACTGCTTTACTACACAACTGTAATCAGCACACTTCCACGTACCATCTGGTGTTTTATTCCCCCTAATAGTTCATATGTGTACTGATGGATGAGAAATTAAAGGTCATCTAGTATCCAAAATATTCTAAAGACATTAAAAAACCCAAAAGAAACAAGCAGATTACCCTTTAAAATGAGAACCATACAGAAAAAAATCTTTTTCTTTTCTGTTGAAATTTTATGAGTATGAGCCAACCTGACAATTATTGGGAAGCAAAATCTCAACAGATTGAGAAAATGCTTCCAAAATACCTTGATTTGTGATGTCTGTGTCTACAAATTAAACCCAAGACCGAGAGGGAGGGCAGTGATGCACAAGGCAGTGCCAAGGTCTGGCCAGGGCAGCCCCTGGCGGGAGCAGCGGAACTGCACAATCTGAGCTAGACAGAACTGAAGAGCCTGTGTGCGGAGCCCTAAAGGCGGAACTTCTAAGACTGCCCACAGTGGGGACACATACATGGGGCACTCTGAATGCAGGCAACAGAACCACTGTTGGGTTCTCCGTCACTTGGGGAGGAAAAGTGCTGTGCAGCTCTTCCAGCTTCTGCTGGCTCTGCATACACAACCTCACTCGCAACCAGGCTATGCTGCCCAGAGGAGGGACGGAGGGCACCTGGGAGAGGCCTGCACTCGTGCATGAGGTGTAAACCACTTGCCCTCCACTCTCAGGACCAATGAGAATCAGGCCCCGTACCACTGAATCCCGGCGTGAGTTCTGCCAGACGCTGAGAGTAAAAGCTGCTAGCCTGGGTCAGCTTCAGGCTCTTCAGGTGCTGCTCGAAAATCTCCCGCCTTTCCTACCAAAGACAGGGGAGGAGGACATAAGTGTGGGCCAGCACGCCCACCATGCAGACAGGAGCCACTTGGGAGGTACTCTCTGGAGTTTCTTCATCATCAGTCACAACCACAGTTTGTGAAACCAATTTAGAGCTGCAAGCAGCATTGCAAAATGAAAAGAAAAAAAAAAAGGAAACAGAATAGATGATAAAGTGCATCAAAATAACAAGGCTATTTTGTGGAACTTTTGATTCATGCACCTCCTGACATAAACACTTCCTACACAGTCAGGAAGATGCACAGCCTCTCGCCTCCACAGGCCCTGTCAGAGGGGAGCCTCACATCGCTTCTTGGAGTGGCAGTTTGAAAAGAGAACCCAGAATGGGCACTGGGTGTGCCAGGAGCCACAGCCCTGTGTCCCTATGCATGTACCTCCAGGAACAGTAACAAACTAACCAATCATTAGGTCACCCTCCGAGCCCTGTCCCTATCCCTACAGGACCCCAAAACACACATGTAATCCTTATCAACGCACGCTGGCTTCCTGCTCCTGCAGGGGCCACCACAAAGGCCTGGCCCCCCAGAGATGAACATCCAACCAGACGTCTGAGATGGAGGAAGCTGGTGGGGCTGAAAGGTCACCAAGGCTCCCACCCGCCTTCCACCTGCTTTCAGGGCAGCTGCACAGCTCATGCTCCACAACTAAGCAGCACCAAGGCCTTGCTCTGGGCAAAGTGAGAACTCTGAGGCTCTCCAAAGAGTATGCTACAAAACTCAACTGAGACAGTCCATTCAACCCCAGATGCTTAAGGATAAAGGGAAAAACAACGTGTTTAAAAAAATATGCTACAAAACCACAAGAAGAGCAGTGTGTTAAAGGAAGTCTGGACAGACAAGCATGTGCATCTGGATCAAGGAGGGCAGTCTTGGGGCACACTGACCTGCAGCGTGGGGAGGTCGATGAAGACATGTCGGTCCAGTCGGCCTGGCCTCAGCAGAGCATTGTCCAAAATGTCAGCTCGGTTGGTGGATGCCAGGACGATGACATGGTCGGTGGTGCCCATTCCTGAGGGACAGACAGTGGCCTTTATGGTGGGGCTCCCCAACACTGTGGCCTTCCCCATGAGGTTCAAGACACAGGACAGGAGAGACTTCCTGCCAGGGTCCATGACAGAGGACTAAAAGCACTAACCCAGGATTTATCCTTCCATGAGAATTTTTTTTTTTGTTTTATTTATTGATTTTAGAGCGAGAGGAAGTGGGGGGAGAAGTGGGGGAGAAGGAGCACGGGAAAGAGAGAACTAACTGACTTGTTCCACTCATTCATGCATTCGTTGGTTGATTCTTTTATTGAACCCACAACCTTGGTGTATCAGGACAAAGCTCTGACCAACTGACCTGCCCAGCCAGGGCCCCGGAGAGATCGCCACAAGAGCAAGAACTCGTCAGTTTTACCTCCCCCAGAGCCCCCCCCTCCCCCCCTCCCCGGAGAGAACTGCTGATAGAGCGGTCCCTGAGAGAAAGGGCCCTCCCCCCTCCCATGCTTCATCACTGCATTTCCCTGGGCCAGAGTGACCACTATGGGCACCTGGGGCATTCCACTTCCCTCTGATGCTTGGGCTGAGGGCCTGGGTTTTCTGCTCCAAGTTTCTCACACGATCATTCATTCATTCATTCATTAATCAATCTCTTTGTGGGATGGTTGATCTTGAGCCTGCAGGGAGGGAGTAAGCTGGCCCCAGATTTCTCTAAGTCCAATTTTTTTCTTTTTTTTTTTAAAGATTTTATTTATTTATTTTTAGAGAGGGAAGGGAGGGAGAAAGACAGAGAAAAACATCAATGTGCGGTTGCTGGGAGTCATGGCCTGCAACCCAGGCATGTGCCCTGACTGGGAATTGAACCTGCGACACTTTGGTTCGCAGCCCGAGCTCAATCCACCGAGCCATGACAGCAGGGGCCTAAGTCCAATTTCTTTGCCTCCAATTCCTACGTGCCCAAAGACAGGGAACCACAGATATGCCTTCATAGGAGGATTCACACAAGAATTTAAAAGTGTTTTCAGAAATTATCCCAATAAATGGCCCAGATCTGCAACTGCAAAAACACATTTATGAAGCAACTGGGGACTCTCAGCATCACTGGGTATTAGTTAGATTGCTATGAAGAACTTACTATTAATTTTAGAGAGAAAGGGAGAGAAAGATCAATCAATTGCCTCCTATAACCTCACCGACTGAGGATCGAACCTGAAATCTAGGTATGTGCCCTGACAAGAAATCAAACCCGTAGCCTTTTGGTGTATGGGACAACACTCCAACCAAATGAAATACCCATCCAGGGCTAAAGAACTTTTTTTAAAAAAGATTTTATGTACTTATTTTTAGGGAGAGGGGAAGGGAGGGAGAAAAGCATCTTTGTGAGACAGAAACATCAACCAGTTGCCTCTTGCACATGCCCTGGGTGGGGACCAAATCCATAAACCAGGAATGTGCCCTGATTAGGAATCAAATAGGTGACCTTTCACCTTGCAAAATGACTGAGCCACATCAATCAGGGCTGAAGAACTTATTTTTAAGTTATATGATACTTCTCTGAATGTAGAGAAATACATTCAGAATATGTAAGATTCAGAACTTTGGGCTGCTTTAAAATAACCCACTGGGGCACTGGCTGGTGTGGCTCTACGGTTTGAGCACCAGTCTGCAAACCAGGGTTACCAGTTCGATTCCCAGTCAGGGCACATGCCTGGGTTGCAGGCCATGACTCCCAGCAACCACACATTGATGTTTCTGTCTTTGGGTTATGGGCCAGGTCCCCAGTAAGGGGCATGCGAGAGGCAACCACACACTGATGTTTCTCTTCCCCTCTTTCTTCCTCCCTTCCCCTTCTCTAAAAATAAATAAATAAAATCTTAAAAAAAATAACCCACTGGGGAAAAGGAACAGGGAGGGAGGTGTGCATGGTCTAGGGCAGGACAAGTACCAACAACACTGAGGCTGATCTGGAACCCAGGGGCTCACTGCATAGTTCTGCTTGTGTGGATGTTTGAAAAGTTCCATAATACACAGCTTTAAAAATAAAGATGTCATGACCTATTTTTTCCTAACATAAAAAATGTCCTAATAAATTGATATAGACAAATGCAATTTTAAATCACCCAAAAAGCCTTTTAAGGAAAGTGAAATATAAAAGAAATATTACAGAATTAAACCCTGAGAGCATGTCAGGCACTGACACCTCACACCAGATTGTCAGTCACTCCACTCCAGTATCCCATGACAATGGTGAGGGTCCCAGCAGAGCCCACCAGTACAGGGAGAACATGCACCTGACCAAGGGGCTGCTACCCATGCCACCAAAAAGCAGCCACCAGGGTAGCCCAAACTACATGTCACTCCCAAGAAAATCACTCCATGACTTCAAAGAACCGTCTCACGGAGATGTAACATCATTCCTGTCTGAGTCGCACTGTGGAATGGGATAAGCCAGGGTGCCACAATGAGTACGGTCCCATTCATGTGCCAAAGTGGGGAGTGCAGAAAAGTATCCACTTTGCTTATGCAAAGATGATGTCTTACTATCACTGACTTTTGAAACAAATTCCAAAACAGGAGCAAGCACCACCCACACACATGACACGTCCGCCTCTCTGCTCCATTTGCTTACACTCCTGATTTAGGAAAAGTGAAACACTGACAAGGGAAAGGAGAGGCAGCTGGAGGGAGGCGCCCTAGCCAGATGCAGCTTCGCTTGCCGAGAGCCTCCTTGATGCCAGGAGGACCCTCTGCCACTCATCCCTGAGTGCTGGTTGGGAAGACCTGCTAGGGCTCACCACTCACATTTGTGAAATTCTTTCCTTCCACAGGTCAAGGTTGTAAGTACAGAAACCTGAAGTTACACACACAGTGAAAAAATGTTGAAGAATAGTAGGAACAGTAGGTATAGAAGAAACACAACAGCAAGGCAAGGGTAGATGCCATGTCAGTGAGCTCCAACCAGAAAGGGGAGCAGTGACACTCAAAGTTCTGCCCTCACAAGTCACCTTGATCTCCCTGAATAACAGAACCCTCATTCCAGGGCCTGGTCATATGGACCACAAGGTGAAGACCTCGTAGGGTTTAGTTTTTGAAAGTTTATATTTTGACAGCCCTGGCCAGGCAGGTCAGTTGGTTAGAGCGTCATCCCGATACACCAAGGTTGTGAGTTCAATACCCAGTCAGGGCACATAAAAGAGTCAACCAATGAATGCATAAGTAAGTGGAATAACAAATCAATGTCTGCCCGTCTCTCTCCAAAATAGTTTTTTTTTAAGAAACTTTATATTTTGACATAGGTGTAGGTGCACAGCAAGGTGCAAAAATAGTGTAGAGAAGTCCCCTACCCCAGTTTCCCAGGTGGCATGTTAAGTAACTATAGCACAATGTCATAACCAAAAAATCCACTCAGCACAGTCCACAAGCCTTGTTTGACACCAACAGTCTCACATGCACTTCTTTGTGTGCACCTCATTCTCTGTAATTTTATCATGAAATTCCTGTAACCTCCACCTTGATCCAGGTAGATTCCACCACCATGGAGACCTTCCTTTACAGTCATACCCCCCTCCCCTCCCACCTTCCCTGCCCCTAGTAACCACTAATCTGTTTCACCTCTAGAATTTTGTCATTTTTAAAGTCTCATATAAACTGAGTCATATAATATGTAACTTTTAGAGGTTGCCTTTTTTCATTCAGCATAATTCCTTTGAGATCCATCCCAACAGTTCTGTACAAGGACAGTTAGTTTCTTTTCACTGCTGCATGGAAACCATGATGAGGACATACCGAAGTTTATTTATGCACCCACTGAGGGACATCTGGGTTATTTCCAGTTCTCAGCTATTACACACAAATAAACATTGCTGCACAGGTGTTTTGTGTAAACATCTTTCTAGGATGAGCACCCAGGAGCACGTCATATGGTAAGCATATATTTCATTTTTTCAGAAACTGACAGACTGTTTCTCAGAAAAGCTACCCATTTCACATTCCCACCTGCAGAGCAGGAGATTCAATTCCTCCACATTCTCACTGGCACAAACTTGTTGTCACAAGTTTTTACTCTAGCTATCCTATTAGGTGAGCATTCCTATCAAAATCTCAGCAGGATTACTTGGTAGATATAGAGAGACTTATTCTAAAAGTTATAGGGACAGGCAAAGAAAGAAGTGCTTCAACACTGCTGGCCAAGAGCAAGTGGAAGGACGCCTCCACCTCTGTTAAGTCTCACTGGGCCGCTCGGTGAGGAACGCTGCATGGTGTGGGTGCAGCACAGACTCGGAGGCCAACAAGCAGACCAGGGGGTCTAGGAACACACACTCCTAAATATGCCAGCTGAGCGCTGACGAAGGTGCAAAAGCAATTCAGTGGAGGAAGCACAGTGTTTTAAACAAGAGATACTGGATCAACTAAACACCCGTGGGCAGAAAAATGAACCATGACCAAAATGTCACACCTTATACAATTATTACTGTGAAATGGATCCTAGATTAAAATGGAAAGGGCCATGTACATGGTAGCAGGGGTTTTCTAATAGCTTCAGGCAGAATCAGAGTCTATTTTCTCCCACACTTTCTAACACAGAGGGTCAAACATGTCCATCGCATAGGACACTCACTGCAAAGCCTTCTTTCTGCCAATCAAACTGTAAAAAGGTGACTGTCTGTAGTTCGCTCAGCTGGGCCCAGTGTTCTTGGATGCAGGTGCCCTTCACACATGGCCTGGCGGTTCTGCAAGGCCCACTCAGCCTGACCTGTGACGGGGAGGACTTCTCTTCCTCAGCAAACTTTTCCCACGACCGGCACAGCATCTGCTCTGCACTCTGTACTTCCATGAATAGAAACTGCTATCCCCCAAGGAGTAACAAAGACTCTTCAGACACAGCTGAAGGGCTGAGAAGGCTCAGCTGTGTCTGTGCACACAGAGACTTGTTTGCTACTGGCCTGGCCCAACAAGAGGCCTTTAGTCAGGGGTTCCGGGCATGAGCAAATCCTGGGGCAGAAGCAGCTCTTTTTATGGCAGCAGAAAGAGGTTCAGCTCAGAGGAAGATGCCATCTGGTAAATGCTTCCTGGTGGGCTCAAGCCTGCCCAAAAGGGTGGTCTCTGTCTTCAGTGTGAAAAGCAGTATAAGCAGAAAGAGACAGACGTGCAATGCTTCCCATGGTCCTGAGTGCTCAGTCAGTGAGAGCCAGTGGGGATCCCTTCGTAACCACCAGGAATGATGCTTTGTCACACTCAGAGGGCACAGAACCACAGATGAGGTCATGAACTTTCACCTCACTGTAACATCAGAAAATCACAGCTCAGAGAAGAGAGGACGGGTATGAACCCTGCACCATCCTTCCACAGTCCACGAGCATGCCTCAGGTCCAAGGTTTGGATGGCCATCTGTGGGAGCTGAAGGACAAGGTGGCCATCACTGCATCAGGCAGGGCAGTGGGACTTGATGACATATCAGGTTTGGACTGTCAACTAATCATCTGACAACTTTCAAATAACCTCTCCCCTTTGTCAACTTGGTTTCACAAAGATTACTCATTCTTTTAAAGAAATAACCAGAAGCTCTCATTAAAATCTGGCACTGCTGATGACAGAGCATCACATGCACAGTGCTGGGTCCCAGATTGGTCTGTCACAGCTGACAGCAGGCCTCAGGCTCTGGCCAGTCTCTGCCATCTGCCCACCTGACCCATCAATGCCAGGACTCGAGGGGTCTTTTAGATGTCTTTAGGACTCAAAAACTACCTCTGGAAGCAATCACCAAAGCCACACTGAAGGTGGAACACCACTAAGAGATCATGGAAAGCTATTTAAAAGAAAAGCAATTCCATATGGTTTCTTAAATGTTGGAGACCCACTGGAGGCCTGGCCAGGTAGCTCAGCTGGTCTGAGTGACACTCCAAACGCCAAGGTTGTGCATTTGATCCCTGGTCAAGGCACAAACAAGAATCAACCAATGAATGCATCAATAAGTGAAACAACTCAAGTTCTCTCCCTCTAAAATCAATAAATAAAAATTTAAAACAAAACAAAAAGCCAGAAACCCACACAGGCAGCAGTGAAGCAAGCCATGTCTCCCCTGGCTGCACTGCCATTGCTGCCCCTGCTGGCAAGAGCCTGCACTGTACTGAGTACCTGCCACCCTTGACCAAACAGTGAGATGTGGAAATCAGCTAGGGACTAGCAAGAACTTGACAGCTGAAGGACTGGGTGTTGCAGCTTTTGCATTTGCAGTTCACTATGTATTTCAGATCTGGAAACCTCTAGAATAAGTAATCACAGAAATTGTAAAAATGATTTCAACTTCTAGCCTTTCATCCTACTATAAGACAGGATTTGAACAGAAAATGAGTAGGTGAGAAGCTAGTCTGATTTTGGGGGCAAGCTCATCTGTTAGCAAGGCCAAAATTAGAATAGCTCATAGGAGAATCATGATTGTGAGTCACCCAGATAAAGGTGGATCTCCATACTCAGCAACCAAGACAAATGAAGCATACTTGCCGCTGTGGCTCAGTTGCTTGGAGCGTTGTCCTATAACCAGAAGGTTGCAGGTTTGATCCCTAACTGGGTGTGGATGCTTGTGTTCCCCAATCTGGATGCCCCAATCCAGATGCACATAGGAGGCAACTAATCGATGTATCTCACTCATATCAATGTTTCTCTCCCTCCCTTCCTCTCTCTCTCTAAAAAGCAATGAAAAAAAAAAATGTCCTCAGGCGAGGATAAAAATCAATCAGTCAGTCAACAATAAATGAAGCAAAAGACTTACTAGATGAAACCACCAAACACTGACTGATACTCAAGGACTACTCTGAAGGAAAAAAGGGAGGGATGAAAAATCAAAGTCCTGCAAATGTAAATCTAAACTACCACCGTCATAATTTTCACACGTGTGAAAAAATAACCATAAAATATTATTTATTATACTGTTAAGTGATATGTTAAAAATTAGTAATAAAAAAGTTGGAGACCCAGAGGGTAACTTTTTAATTTTTTTATTGATTTTAGAGAGAGGAAGGGGGAGAGAAGGAAGAGAGACACATCCATCTGTTGTCCCACTTATTTATGCATTCACTGGTTGGCTCCTGTCTGTGCCCTGATCGGGGATCAAATTCACCACCTCGGTGTACTGGGAGGACGCTCTAACCACCTAAGCTACTGGGCTAGGGTGGCGGTTAACTTTTTAAATTATAAAATAGTGCCTCACTTGACAAGCAGATCTCAACTGCCACAGCGGCACTGGGTGGAGGAACAGTTAGAGTAGGTCTGGAACGCAGGGCTCCAGGGTAGAAGTCCCAGGACTCTAGCCTGGAAAGTGTTCTTGAAGGACCCCCATCTCTGAGGGTGTGTCTCCTGATGGCTCACTCTGTTTACATCTCTAAAGACACCGAGGTATTTGGGAAATTCCTTATCAGGAAAGCTTGCTGTTCCTGTGGAAGACAGCTCCTCAGATCTTGACTGTTTGTGCGATAAATAGTCCCTGAGCTATGACTGGATGAAAGACACTGGGGGGGGATGCAGGAGGTCTGCAAGACAGCTCCAGGGGAAACTGTTCTTACAGTATAACAACACAGTCCCTTCCTCCACTTTGTTAGAAATTAAACTTTAATTTTAAAACTGAAGAGCTCACAGAGCTTACAAAATGCTTCCCTATGTATCAGTTCCTCTGACCTACTCAAGACAGGCCCCACCACGCCTGCCCCAGGCCACAGTCAGAATCTCAGCACCAGAGGCACGGTGTAGCCATGCCACGTGTGTGACAGAAACCAAGACTGCTATGTATTTCCTGACAAAAATGCCCAACAACACCTAACTCTGAGGACACAGCACAGCATCACAGTGGGGATGCCCTTTAAAGGGACTGGACTAGAAAAGCATCATGGTCACAAAAATGAAGATGGAGAATCGGTCCCAGGCTGGAAGAGACAAAAGAGAAACCACCAAATGTGTCATGTTGGCTGCACTGGATCCTAGATCAGAAAAGGCACAGCTGTGGGTGAAGAGGCAACCTTCATGGACATCCTGGTCACAGCCATGTCAGCCTTCAAAAACTTGGGGTGAAGGTATAAAGGGACTCTAACTGCTTCTGCAACATTTTTTTAAAGTCTGGAATTATTTCAAAATGATAAGTTAAAAAAGTTTCACCCTTAGTCACATAAAATCAAGAACACTTTATTTTTTTTAAGACTTTATTTATTTATTTTTAGAGGGGGGGGAGGGGAAGAAAGAGGGGGAGAAAAACATCGATGTGCAAGAGATACATTGATCGGTTGCTTCTCACACTCCCCCAACTGGGGATCTGGCCCACCAACCGGGCATATACCCAAGCTGGGCATTCCCAGTTTGACTGGGAATCAAACTGGCAACGTTTCAGTTCATAGGCCAGCTCTCAATCTACTGAGCTGTACCAGCCAGGGTCCAAGAACACTTTAAAAGGGAAAATAAATACACAAATAAATGGTTCTTTTACAACCAAAAATACGTTGAGAAAAAAACGTCTCCCTCATCTACAATAGCTAAAATACAAATAGATTTGTGATTAAAAGAAAAGCTAAAAATGGATCTTACACAGGTGGAACATGACGAAGTATCTGTATGCCCATGTTCACAGCAGCGTCATTCACAATAGCCAGAAGTGTCCATCAACAGACGAATGGATAAATAAAATGTAATCTATTCAATGGAGTATTATTCAGCCTTAAAAAGGAAGGAAATTCTGACACATTCAACAACATGAATGAACCTTGAGGACAAAATGCTCAGTGAAATAAGCCAGACACAACAGGATAAATACTATGATTCCATTTATATGAAGTCCTTACAGTAGTCAAATTTATAGACAGAAAGTAGAAGGCTGGGCACCAGGGACTGGGGTAGGGAATAGAGAGTTAGTGTTTTGTGGGGATAGAGTTTCAGCTGGGATGAGAAAGTTCTACAGATGGGTGGTGGTGGTGGGTGCCAACAAGAACAATGTACTTAATGCCACTGAACTGTACACTGAAAATGGCTAGAATGGTAAATTTTATACTATATATATTTCATCACAATAAAAATAAACATCCCATATCTATACATACAAACACAAAAAGAGGATCTTACCAAAGTAGCTCAAAAGAAAACAATTCCATGTCACCTTTACTGGGTTGAAGGAAGGAAGGAAGGAAGGGAGGGAGGAAGAAAGGGAGAGAAGAAGAAAGAAAGGGAGGGAGGGAGAGAGAAAGAGAGAAGGAGGGAGGAATTGTGCAGAAGGCAGTCCAGAGGTCATTTTCAAAGGTGGCAAACCCAGAACCTTCCCTCAGTGCAACAGACACATCAGTTTCCATGAATGTCCTACTCCACCCTCCATCTGGGTCACCCTTCAACCAAGACAGCATATAGAAACACATAAAACAGCACAATCAACTGGGATCATTCAAAACTGAGAAACTTCTTCATGGCCTGACCTGCCACTTACATTCCTAGGAGTTTTTCTTTTTTTTTCTCTACCATTCCCTTGACTTTTTACATTAAAAGCTGTGTTTCTTGAGTGCAGCAAAATGAAGAACAGTTCTTAAACTGACCTTGTTTCTAGTTATTATCACTAAACAATGATTCTCTGTGTGCTGATTATAACCCTCACCTACGGCAAGTGGTAAGGTGGAGAAAAGGTACAGACCAGAGATTGGAGAAAAATAAAATACAGATGAGCATTAGTGTAAGGTTCTGGAACAACAAACATAAGCAGTGCAATCCAACTAGTAAAGGACTGTTTAGAAAAAGCTGAAAACCCTTCTCCCCACGCTGAAGCAGCCAGGGAGGGTGCTCACCGTCCATTTCCACCAGAAGCTGGTTGAGAGTCTGCTCCTCCTCCGTGTTGGAAAAGCCAGACATGGTGGTGGAGCGCTTCTTGCCTACAGCATCAATCTCATCGATATAGACAATGCAGGGGGCCCGGGCCCGGGCCTCCTTGAAGAGGCTCCGTACACGGGCAGCACCGAGGCCTGAGGGGACACAGAGGGCCAGGGAGCAGACAGGTCATGGGAGTTGAACCCCACTCTTGGGCCAAAGCCCAGAGTAGAGCAGTAAGGACAAAGAAATCTCAGCAAGCACCCACTCATGCAAACAAAACTAGGATCTGTCACAGTGGAGATCAAAGGACGCTCACCCTCCTGAGTCCTCCCAGGACTACCCAAAGCAGCAGCTTCAAAGAACATCATCACACAATTCTCTATGTAAACACAATGTTCCCCATAATACAGGTTTCATTTTTCCTTCTTTATTCCCCCTATTTCATTAATTTAGCCACCTGAGGGAGAACACACGAACGGAGGGCCAACCTGGACAAATGTCAGGCAAGCCTGTCTGCAGGCCTCCAGGCGATGCCTACCTCCAATAACCTCCACGAACTCTGGGCCAGCCATCGCCAGGAAGGGCACCTGGGCCTCTGTCGCCACAGCCTTGGCCAGCAGTGTCTTCCCACAGCCAGGGGGCCCAAGCAAAAGTGCACCCTTCGGAACTTTGGCACCAAGCTGAAGGAAGCGCTCTGGGCTCTAGAAAAGTAGCAGAAAATATGACAGTAACCACAGGTTTTTCAAACAGAATTTTCAAGAAATGAACCCTCTAAGGGTCAATTCATGTGCTGACATGAATCAGCTGTGGTGCCATGAGCCAGTGTCCCAGAGGTTCTGAGTATGGTCAATGACTGGCTCTTGGCCCTTCTGCTGGTCAACAACTGTACACTAGGCCACACTACCTATTTAACAGGCAACAGCCCGTGCAGTACATGTGTGTCCCCACCTCAGCACAGTCAGCTCACCACGCAGCACACACATATGATCAATGCAGTTCTCCCCTCTGGGAGAGCACTCACACCCATCTCCTGCTCAGCACATGTGCTTACTTACCTTCAGATAATCCACAAACTCTTTGACCTCCAGTTTGGCTTCATGCATTCCTGCCACATCTTTGAAGCTAACTCCCTTCCCCATCTTGCCATCCACAATCGTGAAACGAGCCATTTTAAGCTGATTCTGGGCAGAAAGAACAAAAGGCAGGGTGCTGTGCACTCCCAGAGCTAGATGGGAGCCTCAGTGCTGGCCCCGCCTGCCCCGCCCCTGCATCCCCACCTCCCCTCTGCTGGAGGATCTCATGGACCCTCCTCCCACCACCCAGAGGGACTAACCGCCAGCCTCTCCACTCATGCAGATGGCAGTTAAGGTCACATTTCAGACATACAAGGGGAAGTGTTTATTTTACATAGTCAACAGTAAAAAAGCTATCTAGCACCTAACAATTTGCCTTAAAAAAATAAAACTAAAAACTCCCCCCACAAACTAGGTAATCTAACAATGTCTTTTGCATAAACCATCTTATATTTCTATAAGATTTTTCCCACTACTGTGTAATTTATTTTTCTGATTATAAAAGTAACTAAATACATCCTTGATTGGTATGGCTCAGTGGATCGAGCACAGGCCTGTGAACTGAGAGGTTGCCTGTTCAATTCCCTGTCAGGACACATGCCTGGGTTGCGGACCATGTCCCCAGCTGGGGGAGAGCAAGAGGCAACCAACTGATGTTTCTCTCACACATCAATGTTTCTCTCCCTCCCTTTCTCTCTCCCTTCTCCTCTCTCTGAAAATAAACAAATAGAGTATTTTAAAAAACAAATAAAATTGAATACAGATGATATAGTATAGAATTGTACACGCGAAGCCTATATTAACCAATGTTGCCCCAATAAATTCAATAAAAACATTTTACAAAAATAATGTATTTGCCCTGGCTGGTGTGGTTCAATGGATTGAGCACCAGCCTGCAAACCAAAGGGTCGCTAGTTTGATTCCCAGTCAGGGCACATGTCTGGGTTGTGGGGCAGGTCCCCCATGGGGGGCATGTGAGAGGCAACCACACATTTTTGTTTCTCCCCCTCTCTTCCTCCCTCTTCCTCTGCTAAAAATAAATAAATAAATAAATAAATAAATGTTTTTTAAAATTATAATATTAAAATATTAAAAAAATAAAAATTAATATAGTAACAATCCTGGGGAGTCTTGGTAGAAATATTAATTGGTAAATTTCTGGACAGCAATCAAGCAGGGGAGCTAAAGGTCTTAGTGAGGTATATAAACTTCAACCAATCTACTTTTAGGAAGACCCATAGGCAAATAATTAAGACAAGCTCTCACAAGATACGTGTGCATAGAATTCATCAGAGTATTATTTAAATACAATGATAAAAATAAACAGCCAAAAATATGTAACAAGTAGCAAACTGGGACACCATGCTGCCCAGGGAGAATGCAGGAGATGCCCTCTGCAGATGTGGCCCCACCTCCCTGGCCCCTCTGTTGATGCAGCTAATTAGCCACATACAACCTAATGGGAAAGAGAAGTGCACGTAATGATGAATGCCACAAAAATAGAATATTTTTAAAGTATATTGTGGATGTTCTTTTAAAGACAACCTTTAAAATTTCTCAGTGTAGCTAGCAGGGAAACCAAAAACAGCCATGCCCAGCTAATGATAAAAACTGCAAAAAATGCTGCCCCATAAATGCCCTTGGCTCAGATACCCCACAAGTCAAGGAAAAGGGGCCTCAATGAGAGCTGGTTACTGTGCCCCCTCCATCAGCCAAGCAGAAGAAAAGATGAGCTGCCAAATTATGGCTCCAGGCTGGCCTCTCCAACAGGTGAACTTTCGCCATACACTTACTCTGTTGTTTATGGGAAAAGCATTTGGCAGGAACATACACACAAATCCTAAGACTGCTAGTTCAGTGAGATGTGATTTGTACAACTTACAAAAGCACTGAATCCTCCTTCCCTTCCAGTCATTCCAGCCAAACGAAAAACATACCACAGGATGGCCAAGCCTACTGCTGTCATCCCCAAGGCATAAAGGGCACTAGTGAGAGAAAGAGAGGCAGTTATAGGCTCAGAAGTGGCCACAAGGCAGCTGACAGTTACACCTTACCAAGGCAGGGATAGGGACCACGGACATTTCAAAGATGAGAAGAGCTACCCCTCCCTCTGAGAGCGACTTGTAGAACAAATGGTTGTTAAAATGGTTTCCTCGTCCAGTTCTCACCAATTACCCTCTTTTGTAAAGTTTGCCTAAACTACCGGATGAAGTGGGGAAATGTTGGAGATGCAAAATGTAATCTTGGCATGAAGCCAGAATAGCTGATACTGCACACTCACCCTGTTATATAGAGAGAGCCTTGTGACAATTAAAGAACCAACCACAGTGGGTTTTCACGTTCAATAAATTTTGTTTTCAAAAGGAGACCATTAATTTTGGTAAGGCAGAATAAGCCTAGAATAAAAAGTACACCTTGGGATGCCAGCCCTCCACATGAAGATGTAAGCCACCCATCTGCCCTATACCCCTGTTATTCCTACAATCAAGTAGAGGTGCAGCCTCAGAACCCCGAGCCTTCAGGAGCCAGTGGGCTGTAGAATTTAGAGGCTCATCATTTCATAGATGTGTTTGCCAGTCACTGAGCCTTATCAGAATTACAAAGCATGTCCACAAGTCAACAATAAACCTCTCTACCCAGCTTTTAGCCACTGTTGGTCCCAGCATGCAATCAGAACCCCTAACTGTGCTGACTGATCTGTTCCCACTAAGGAGTCTGCAGGCCCATGGCCTACAACCCCTAAATTCTTTCTGAAACACGGAACCAAGAATTCCTGCTGGATATTGGTGCTTCTCCCCTTTCTATTCCATTTTCCTATTTACAGAAGGCAGCTAACCTCACACGTGCTAAATTCATAAATGCAACCACATAATTGGAGTAAGCAACTAAAAATTCCAAAAGGCTCACACAATTCCAAACTCCCCAGCGTTATGTCATTCACTCATATGTTATTTATCCTCCCACAAGAGAGTCTAGTTAACTATAGGAAAGCCAGTTTCAGATTTCTGTGTGTGGTTTGTTTCTCACATTATAAAGCCACGCTTGGTCTAGTTCAAGGGCTGACAAAATTGACCAACATACTTTCCAAAGAATCCCGTACGCTTATAGGAAACTGGAATCCTGTCCTTGCCTTCGATATTCAGCTCATCTTCAGCCGCTCGAAGCTTCTCTTCAAATTTGTCGATGTTTGCCACCTGCATTCGGTACATCAAGGCCAGTCTCTGGGGGCAGAGAGCAGAGGGACTGTGAGAGTGATGAAGGGGACAGACTGCCAATCCCTCAAACACACAGTTGTCATTCAGAAACTACTTTCACATCTAAAGAATTGTAATTGTCTCAAACACAATTACAACAAATTTTCAATAGATATGCTTTCTTTTATTTTCACAAATAGAAACATTTTAGAAAATTGGAGGAGGCATTGCATTCTAAACTCAGCACCCTGTCCCACTCAACTGTGCGTGCAGAACACAGAGACACAGAGACACAGTGACAAGTCTGAGTACTGGACTGAGGATGCACAGTCCACTTACTAAGGCAAAAAATGCAGGTGTTGGGTTTGACCATTGGCTGAATCTGAAATTCAACTAAGTGGGTGTCTTTTTTCTTAGAAAACCTTCCCCAGATAAAGACACTAAGGAAAAGTCAGCAGATGGAAAGTTTCCTAAAGTGAAATCAGCACCTTCCCCAAGTACACAGGCTTCACTGAGAGGAAAGCTCAAAACCAGTCTAGGAGTCCACACTGAGTCCCCAAGTCCCATCTCAATAGGTTGACCTCATCACAGGGATTGATCACTCCTGAGCTAGGCTGAAGCCTCTACAGAAAGAACATCTGTGCAACGCACAAGAGGTGGGAGCACGGGTAGGGTAGTCCTCATTCTTCCCACCAACCTGGACTGTGTCTTATGGATTCCACATCATTTTCCTAACAGCCTACTCCACATGCTTTCCAAAGTTAAACTGTTCCAAGCTCCGGTTCCAAACACTCTTGCAGTCTAACCTGAGCAAGCAGAATTCCCCCAGGGCTGTTAAGAGCTGCAGAAAAATCTCTTGTGGAATAGGTGTCACTATGAGAGCAGTCAGCCAGGCTCCCTATGGGAGACAGCAGGCCAGGTGAAAAGGCAGACAAGAGGACCCACAAGTCACAACATAGTGACTATGACCTGTGCTGTAACACCCAATGGCTTCAGTTGCTGAACTAACCTAACAGACTCCAAGTATTTGATCTGGACGACTACAATGCCTAGATCACTGGTCTGGCCATGTAACTGAAGTCACAATTGGCATAGAAGGGAAAAATGTAGAAATGATCCTCTTTCTATGCCAAGATCCAAGAATACAATGTATGATTCCAGAGGCCAATTCAATGCCCACACCCTCTATAAAATTTTCTCTGGTCACCTGGGCCCAAATCATCCTCTCACTTCTGTAAGGCCCTACAGCAGCCAGCCAGGCCACTCACTACTCAGAAACAAGCAGCATGCATCACGACCACTCATTTCTGAACTGTGCTGGAATTTAACTTTTGCAATTCAGAAAACTATGTGTAGATGCTATCACCGCAGCTAAATTATAAGCCTTTGTAACCTGATAACCAGCTGAAAACACCAATTTGGAGACTTGATCTGAAAGAGAAACTTGCTGGGCTGCAGTGGACCTAAAGCCAAGCATCTTTAGATAGGATAAGCATTCCACTGACATCTCAACCCTATTCAAAAACCACAGTAGTGTGGCTCAGTGGATTGAGTGCTGGCCTGAGAACCAAAAGGTCACTGGTTCGATTCCCAGTCCGGGCATATGCCTGGGCTGCGGGCCAGGTCCCCAGTAGGGAGCACGTGAGAGGCAGCCACACACTAATGTTTCTCTCCCTCTTTCTCTCTCCCTTCCCCTTTCTAAAACAAACAAACAAACAAACAAACAATAACTGGAATCTTAAAAAACAACAACAATAACAACAAAACTACAGTAGATATCGGAATGCAAACAGGGCATGCTCAGGGAGCATGGTGTAAGGGAGAGAATACACCAAAGAAGAGACTAACCCCATGTTCCATGTGAACGAGTGAATCAAAACCAGAACACCCATCTATCTCCCAGCATGGAGAAAGAGGTATAATTTTACTTGGACTATCCAAACTTTTAGCAAAAAATGGGAAGGAGACTAAAGACACATGACAATTAAATATAATTCATAATCTATGAATGGATCCTGGTTTAAGATACTAATAAAAACAACTCTTAAAGACCGTACAGGGGCAACTGAGTAACATGAACAAGGAAAGTACTTTAGAAAATATTTTGGGTTGCAGGGATTGTACACTAATCATAAGGAAAATTTCACAGACAAGCTAATTTGCCTTTCAAGAGCAAGGCTCCTGACCTGGCTGGTGTAGCTCAGTGGATTAAGAACAGGCCTGCAAACTAAAGGGTCACTGGTCCCCTCTTCAATTCCCAGTCAGGGCACATGCCTGGGTTGCAGGCCAGGTTCCCAGTGCGGGGCATGTGAGAGGCAACCACACATTGATGTTTCTCTTCCTCTTTTTCTCCATTCCTTTAAAAATAATCTTTTTTTTTAAAAAAGTACAAGTCTCAAGTTCAAGATGGCAAAGAAGATTCTGAGCTCACCTCCTCTCATTGACACCGAAACTACAACTATGTATATAATATCTCTGAGAATGACCCGAAGACTAGCAGAACAGATTTTCTACAACTACAGACACTGGGTAGGAGGGGTAGAAACTAAGTCTAGTCAGGACCCACCTTACCCCCGCACCAACTCCCCATGTGGTGACTCAAAAGTGAGAGGGATATCGTAACGGTAGACGTCATCCCCAAAAGTGAGGGGTCTGATCCCTAGCCTGGGGGATCCGCACCAGAAGAGGAGCCCCCATAACATCTGGTTTTGAAAACCAGCAGGACTGACATCTAGGAGAGCAAAAGGCTGCAGGAAACCCAGGTTTCTTTCTGAGTCCCAGCACAGAGGCAGCAGTTCGAAAAGCTCCTCAGTCACACATAAAGGTGATACACTAACTAATTTTAGGGTATATGCTGGAGGGACAGGGTATCTGTTAGAACTTTCTCCTGAGTAAGAAGTGCTGGTGAGCACCATTTCCCCCCTTTCTTTCCTCTCCTTCCACCTAGTTGGTCTGACGCTGGCAGGCACCATTTCTGACCTCTCCATTAACCTTGCTAACACTGTTCACCCCACCCTCGTGTTTCCCTGAGGACTCATTCAGGCTGGCACCCCTCCAAAGTGGCTCCTGCCTTGCCACACTCAGTGGGTGACCTCAGTTGACACCAGCACACAGCAGTGTGTCCGCAATAGTGTCGCTGGGCCTCTCAGCCAATCACACTGAATATCTGCCTCACATACCAGTGAGCCCACAACAGTTGTGGCCAGGCCTCACAGCCAGTGGGAAAAGGATCAGCCTTCCCTACCAGTGTGTCAATAGGAGCTACAGCCCAATTACAACAGGAGGCCACACTAGAACACACAGAGAACACTTCTGGAGCACCTGGCTCTGGTGACAAGGGCGATTCCACCACTAGGCTCCATAGGACACCTTCTAAAAGAGACTACTTTTTCAAGACCAGGAGATGTAACTGACCTACCTAATACAGAGACACAAACAGGCAAGATGAGAGAAAAGAATATGCGCCAAACAAAAAAACAGGACAAAACCCTAGAAAAAGAACTAAATGAAACGGATGCAAGCTGTCTATTAGATAGAATTCAAATAGTTATGAAGATGCTCATCACACTCTGCAGATAAGTGGATAAACTCAGTGAGAACTTCAACAAAGAGAAAAAAAGGAAACCTATCAGAACTGAAGAATACAACAACTGAAATGAAAAATACACTGGAAGGAATAAACAGCAGATCAGATGACACAGAAGAATGGATCAGCAATCAGGAAGAGAAGATAGTGAAAAACACCCAATTGGAAGATCAAAAAGAAAAAAGAATGAAAATAGTATAAGGGACTTCTGTGACAACATCAAGAGTACTAATATTTGAATCATAGGGGTTCCAGAAGGAGAAGAGAGAGAGAGCAAGGGACAGAAAACCTACTTGAAGAAACAATGGCTGAAAACTTCCATATCCTGACAAAGGAAATGACATCCAAGTCCCAGAAGCACCGAGAGATCCAAACAAGGTGAACTCAAAGCAACCCACAGCAAGACACATTTTTATTAAATTGTTAAAAGTTAAAAATAAAGACTTAAAAGCAGCAAGAAAAAAAAACAAATAGTTCCATACAAGGGAATACCCAGAAGACTAACAGCTGATTTTTCAACAGAAACTTTGCAGGCCAGCCCTGGCCATGTAGCTCTATTGGTTAGTGACTTGTACTGATACGCCAAGGTTGTAGGTTTGGTCCCCAGTCAAGGCACATACAAGAATCAACCAATGAATGCATAAAAAAGTGGAATGACAAATAGATGTTTTTCTTTCTGCCACCCCCCCAAAATCAGTAAAGAAACAAAATAAATAAATAAAATACTTTACAAGCCAGAAGGGAGTGTCACAATATATCCTACATGATGAGAGGAAACTTCTACAACCCAGAATACCCTACCCAGTAAGGTTATCATTCAGAATTGAAGCAGAGATCAAGATTTTCCCAGACAAGCAAAAGCTAATAGGTTCACTGCCACTAAACCAGCATTATAAGAAATGTTAAAGGGAATCCTGTAAGTGGAAAAGGAAAGGCCAAAACTAGAAATAAGAAAATATATGAAAAAAAAAATCTCATTAGTAAAGGCAAATATAGTAAATGTCATAGACCAACCACTTATAAATTTAGTATGAAAACAATTAAAATTGCAGTAAGTACATATTCATCAATAATTACTTTAAATGTAAATGAACTAAGTTTTTCTTTCGAAAGACATAGAATGACTGAATGGATAAAAAAAAAAACCAAGACTCTTACATATGCTGCCTATGTGAGACTCACTTCAGATACAGACTGGAAGTAAATGGATGGAGAAAGGCATTTTATGAAAATGGAAATTTAAAAAAAGCTGGGATAGCAATACTTTTATTAGACAAGACAGACTTTAAAACAAGGGCTGTAACAGTACACAAAGGAAGACCCCGCAATTCCACTTCTGGGCACTTATCTGAACCAAATGAAGCACTAATTAGAAAAGATACATGCAACTCTATATTCACTGCAGCAATACTTACAATAGCCATGATATGAAAACAACACACATGTTCATCAGTAGATGAATGAATAAAGAAGAAATGAATATGTGTGTGTACACCCACACACAAGGATATTATTCAGCCATGAAAAGGAATGAAACCTTGCCATTTGTGGCAACATGGACAGAGGGAATTATGCTAAGTGAAGTAAGTCAGAGAAAGACAGATTTGTATCATTTTACTTAAACATGGAATCTAAAAAACTAAACGAACCACCAAAACAGACTCATAAATACAGAAAAACTGACAGTTGCAGGGAAATGAAGGATATGGGCAAAAAGGTGGAATTATAGCATAATTAAGTAATGGGAATGTAAAGTACAGAATAGGGAACACAGTCAATAATAGCACAGTAACTTTGTACAGCGACACATGGATACTGTACTCTTTGTGGTGATCACTTTGTAAGGTATATGAATGTCAAATCACTATGTTATGCCCTGAAACTAATATAATACTGTATGTTAACTATGCTTTAATTAAAAAAGAATTTACAGTCCAGAATGAAAGAAAGAAGAAAATATTCTGGTATTAATGTTACCTTTCTTGGGCCTAACTATGGTGCTGTGGTTACTGGAGAATGAGAAGGGAATCAGAGATTGGAGGGAGTGATTCCTTTTTGCCCAGGGTTTTCACATAGTCAAGCTCTGGGGCCCAGTTTCCATACACCCACCTCATTTCCCAGCGGTGCCAGACAACTAGGCCACTGTCAATAGGTATGTTTCTTCCCATCTTTCTTTTTTTAATTATTTATTTTTAGAGAAAGGGGAAGAGAGGGAGAGAAACATCAATGTGTGCTTGCCTCTCACATGCCTACCACTGGAAACCTGGCCTGCAACCCAGGCACGTGCCCTGACTGGGAATCAAGCCAGCAACCCTTTGGTTCACAGGCTGGTGCTCAACCCACTAAGCCACACCAGCCAGGGCTCTCTCCCCATCTTTGATGGCCAGCTCCCTACCTAGCATGAATGCTCACCCTCCCAACCCCTCTGCAATGTCTGCCATCTTTTCTATGGCTAGGATACCACTCTCCAGTGCTGACCATACTGGGGGTTCTCTCCTGGGGCTGGGGCAGCTGTGGACCCCACTAGCTTCTAGCTGAAGACAACACTGCCTCTCCCCATTTCAAGCATCATCTTAGTGGGCCACCACTCAAAAACCTTCAATGAATGTAACAACCAAAAAAATGAGGGTGGCCTTGACCAGGTAGCTCAGTTGGTAAAAATGTCACCCTAGAGGCTGAAAGGTTGTGGGTTTGATCCCTCGTCAGGGCACATGCCTATGTTGCAGGTTCGGTCCCTGGTCGGGACATGTATGGTAGGCAACCAATCGATGTTTCTCTCCCACATCGCTATTTCTCTCCCTCTCTCCCTCCCTTCCTTTCTCTCTAAAATCAACAAGCATGTCCTTAGGTGAAGGTTTAAAAACAAAATAGGGTGGGTAAGGACTGAGTGAAAGGGGGGGTTACACATGTGTCTCCAGGTCTTTTCAAGCGTGTGCTCTCGCCATCACTTACAGGACGCCCGAATACCACGGCTCCAGGGTGCAGGTACACTTCCACCACATCGCTCTCGGGCACCACCTGGACCCGCTGTACCTCGCCCTTGGCCAGCATCTCATTGACAAAGTCGTTCCAGGAAATGTTGCCCCCGCTGGTGCTGAGTGCATTCAGCAGGCTCATGACAACGGCGATGACAAACAAGGTGCGCAGTCGTTCTCGGTACATCTGGTCCTCCCTCTCCTTGCGCCTCCTCTCCTCTGTGAGCAGGGACCAGAGGAGTGTTAGACACAGGCTGCCAGCCAAGCCCACCCTCAATGCCTTACATCCTTTTGCCAGGAAAGCTCAACACTGAGACAGCCGTGTTTCATCTCCTAAAAGGTCCTACATTTTGGCCTATTTTTCAACAAAGTGATTTGAGACAAACACTAAACATAAGTCATTCAAAGTGACCAACATTCCATTTAGAAGTCTCACTGGCTCAGATAATGTGAAGCCATTTTTTAAGTCAAAAAGCTTCCCAGGACCACCACACAGTAGACCCCTTCACTGAAAACACATCTGACCCAAGCTGTAATGAATTCAGGAACTCCACATTGATTAGATTCTGAACATCATCAGTAGAGTACTTTTGACACGTGTGTAAGTTATTAATCACATTAAAACAAATATCTTCTACCTTCCTCCTAAACAAACAAATACCACAGCCTTCCTCCTAAATCCCCAATCAGATAAGTCACCTCTTCTGCTGAGATGGAGGAGAGGTGCTGGCCTTTATTTAAGTGGCGATTCTGTGGTCATGGCCCACTTACCCCAGTCCTTACACCCGTCAAGTACCTGTGTTTACAACAAGGAGGTCCCAGACCAGGAGGTCCCTATTTAGCTCATTTGTGTAGTGAGGGCCATCCTTCCCAACACAACAACTAGATTTTGTCAGATTTGTCGTTAATGATGCCCACTGAGAAATATAAACACAATCCTTCACCAGTTCTGACCAACATGGGTCTAGACCTACCTCAGCAGCCAAACCTTCAACCATTTTTTTTGTCCTCCCCACAATCCATGTGCTCCTTCATGCACAAACATGCTCATCTGCTCAGGTAAAGAGCAGAGAGGACCCGGGACAGACGTAAGGTTCAACCCAAAGCCTGGGGTAAAAGGTCCACCCCAGGCTGCACATGTGGTCACTTTTCTAAGAACAGGAGCACAGCTGGAACCCAGTGTGCACCCGCTCCTCTCTGCACTGCCTGGAGGTGTCACCCACAAACACACCACCTTCCTCTCCAACCATCAGTTTAGAGGAATTCAAAAGGTTTTTAAATCAGCTTAAAAAATAAATGAGAAAACAGAACAGTAGAACAAATAAAGAAATTCTAAAGTTGGAAAAAAAACCCCACAAATGAAACCTACTAAGGCCCTAGTCAGGTAGTTCAGGTGGCTAGAGCATCATCCTGATAGGCCACAGTTGCAGGTTCAATCTCTGGTCAGGGCACATACAAGAAGCAACCAATGAATGCATAAATAAGTGGAACAACAGATTGATGTCTCTCTCTAAAAAAATCATCAATTAAAAAAATCCTAGTGAGGCTGTCCTGGTAATCATTTTGAAAACATGAAGGTATATCTGAGATACCATATCTTGTTATAATAGATTACAGTAATGTATCTAATATGTAAAGCTCACATTCACAAAAGACAGCTAAATAAAGGCTACCACTTATTTTGAAAAAACAAATTTATGTTCTCAGGTGAGTACCAATTCTTTAGAAACCATGTACTTCAAATATTTAATTTTCAGTCTTCTTTTTTTTAACTTTATTTATTTATTTTTAGAGATAGGGGAAGGGAGGGAGAAAGAAAGGGAAACATCAATGTGTGGTTGCCTCTCATGTGTCTCCTACTGAGGACCTTCCTGAAACCCAGACATGTGCTCCGATGGGGTATCAAGCTGGTGACCATTTGGTTCACAGGCTGGCACTCAATCCACTGAGCCACGCTACCCAGAGGCCAGTCTTGTTTTCTAATTAACAACACTGACAGTCATTCAACTACAACACAGTGATATGAATGAGGCTCATGTCAACACATCTATCCTTCAGAGGCTTTATATGATCAAAATGTCTATTTTCAATACATTTAAGACACTGAATTTGTGAGTAAGTCCCCTGTTTCTGGCTGGGTGGTACAGTGTACAAATCAACTGTTGTTCCTCCCACACCCTACATGAAAGGGATTTAAAGCAATTCTGTGACTCACAACCATCTGTTCAGAGTGTTAAAAAGGTCTACAATTTTAAAAAGATACAGCTTGGTGTTAAATAAGACAGCTTTGCAAGAATGTCTAAAAACAATAAAAGAGCAGCTTAGATGTGGAGTCCAATAAACACCTGTTCTGTTTTTTTGTTTTCTTTTGTTTTTCCCCCAAAATCCAATTCTTTTCAAATAAAAACCAGCCTGGTGTACTCATCACACATCTACACCCTTAGCACAGGCTGTCCCCAGTTCACTCCTCATTATCATCAGCTCCTAGCAGCCATCTTGCACCTTAGGGATCCACTCACCTCAGACTTAGCTTTTTATTTCCCTCACCCTTTACATGATCACCTCGTCCCAGTTCCAGAGTAGAGATGACATTTAAGATTTGCAAGTGAGTTCAGTGTGAACTGCAGCTGGGGGCTGACGCAGGACCACAGTGGTCCTCTTATGAGACAGTGAGCTCCTACTTTCTTCAAGGCCCTACAACAGTACCCTCCTCCCCTCTGGGGGCTGCTTCTCAAGCCTGGGGCAGTGAAAACACTAACCAGGTGTATATGGGGTTGGGTTCAGCCAAGGAGTTCTGGTACCTTCCTCCCACCCCAGAACTCTGACTTCAGGGTAGATCCAAGATTCACTTTTTCCACACACAAAAAAACAGAAATGCCACGTGCCTTTAGGCATTCTGAAGAAGACGAGGGACACAGGTGCTGATGGAAGCATCCCTAAAAGGACCAATAGGAAGGATCCAGCAATGGCATTTAGAGATTAGGGCAGGTTTGCTCAGGGCACGGGGAGCACAGGTGCCTGGGCTTGCCCAACTTTTAAGACAGGTTTCCTGATGCTTAGAATGTACAAGTAAAGACAACCAAACTAGCCATTTTCCCAGAAGATCCAACAGACCTACCTTCATCATCTTCGGGGGTCCTCCCCTTGGACTCATCATGGTCCTTAGTCTTCCGCTTCCTCCTTGAGGTGTTAAAATAGTAAGTGCTACCTACAAGGAATTGGGAAACTATTTAACAATCAAGATCTGCAACTACAAGGGAACACTTACGAGAAGAGTATATTCTTGAATAAACAAATTAAAACAGTAGCTATTTAAAACCTGTTAGATCTAGAATAGTACAGTATTTACAAATCATAGAATAAAAAACTACTTCAACATATGAAGTATCTTTGTAATTTAAATTAGTCAATGTGAGAAAATGCAAATTAGTTATGAACATAAATTTGAGAAAGTATCATGAGTTTGTTGGAAAAAAATCCCTTTAACACATACAATCACTTTAATTTTTTATTTAATTTTTTAAATTTGATTTTAAAGGGAGAGAAGAAGGGGGAGGGAGAGGGAGAGTAAGAGAGAAAGAAACATTGGTCATGCCCTGGCTGGTGTGCCTCAGTGGATTCTGTGACAGCCTGTGAACCAAAGGGTTGCTTGTTCGATTCCCAGTCAGGAGACATGCCTAGAGTGTGGGCCAGGTCCCCAATGGGGGCAGCTTGAGAGGCAAGCACACACTGACGCTTCTCTCTTTCCCTTCCTCTCCATCTAAAAATAAATAAAATCTTTGGTGGGGGGTGGGGTGGGGAGAAAGAAACATCGATTAATTGTTCCACTTATTTATGTATTTACTGGTTGATTCTTGTAGGTGCCCTGACAGTGGATCACAACCACAACCTTTATGTATCAGAACGACACTCTAACTACTTACCTACCCAGCTAGGGCCTGTACAGTCACTTTAAATGAACTTAAACAAATGAATGACACAAGTGGCTTTGGCACATGCAGTAAGGCAGCAAGGCAAGGCTCACCATCACCAAGACAGGATCACATAACACTCCTCACACAAAAGGTTCTGCCTTACCTAAGGTCTGAACAAATCAGTATTAAAAATGGGGAGACAGGTTCTCAAAAGATGACTTAGTTGTACTTTTCTTCACAGACATTAACAGAATCACAAGTGAAACTATCTTAATGACCACCTGACACAGTTCAGGCTATCTGAAGGGTGAAGTGTGTGCCACCGGGTGCATGTGCAGATCTAAATGAGAAAACACAGACAACAGATGTGCAAACTGTCCCCAAGTCACAGCTCTTCTTGACCATGTGTGGGTACCAGACTATTTATGTACATTAGGAAGTCAGAAAATTTTACTTTTTCCCTATTCCAACTGGATAAAGGGGGGAGTAAAATTACAAATGGCAATTCTTGAGATCCTTTGACCTAAGGTCAAGAAAGACAGCAGGATGTAGAGTCTCACTGAACAGTGCAACTCTACTATGAGAGTAAACTATTACCTGGCTGCTTTTAGTTACCTTCTGTATATAAAATATACAAGCCACTCTGCAGAACCTTAAGAGTACTCTTGGAGCTTGCTAGAGAACATGACAACACTTTTTCAAGCAGCCCAATTATTGTTATACACCAGAACTGGGGGGGGCGGGGGGAGTGGGGAAGGCCCTGGACAGGTAGCTCAGTTGACCAGAGTGTCATCTGGATACACCAAGGTTGCAGGTTTGATCTCCATTCAGGACACACACACATAGCAATCAATGAATACATAAATAAGTGGAACAACAAAGTGATGTTTCTCTCTCTCTTCCTTCCTTTCTCCAAAATCAATAACTAAAAAAAATCTGTTTTAATTTCAAAATAAGCAAAAATGGCCTGTTCTGATCTTGGACAATCTTCCTTTTTGTGAACTCCATTTCAGAGCACCTAAGGGCTCACAATAAATAGAAGCCAATGCTCCTATTAGCAATTTCATTTTCCTGTCAGTGTCAAACCAGCAACATTATCCTAATTTATTCACAAATAGGACAGCCTTTGCCTATCACTTCTGTCTTTCAGTAGATACACACCTAAAAGCTTCCAGAGTCTGACTGGATTCTGGACTAGATGCTGTTTCAATAGTAGTCCATGGATCCCTTCAAAGGTAGGAGTTAGCAGTCGCAATTGCAAACTCTGGAAAAAAAAAAAAAAGAATGATACTCAGGATCAGTCGCATCAACATTATAGCACACCAAAGCAATGTGAACTAATTCCCTGATGCAAAATCTTTCTAAAAGCTCAAATATTTATACATTTGTAATGTTTATATTGCCCTGAAATGTGAAGTAATAGTCTGATCATTACTTCAAAGTTTTGATGTCACATCAAAAGAAAAAAAGCCAAGCCCTGGCTGGTGTAGCTCAGTGGATTGAGCGCGAGCTGCGAACCAAAGTGTCGCAGGTTCGATTACCAGTCAGGGCACATGCCTGGGTTGTAGGCCACGGCCCCCAGCAATCGCACATGGATGTTTCTCTCTCTCTTTCTCTCTCCCTCCCTTCCCTCTCTAAAAATAAATAAATAAAGTCTTAAAAAAAAAAAAAAGAAAAAAAGCCCTGATCAGTGTAGCTCAGTTGGTTGGACATCATCCCACAAAGTGAAACGTTTGATTCCCGGTAAGGGTTGTGGGTGCAGTTCCTGGTCAGGGTGCCTACGGGAGGCAACCCATCAATGTTTCTTTCTCACACTGATCTTTCTATCTTTCTCTCCCTTCCTCTCTCTCTAAAAATCACTAAAAACATATGCTTGGGTGAGGATTTAAAAAAAAAGATACAAAAACATCAAAAGCAAGTGAGCAAGTCAGAGAAACACTGAACTAAAGGAATGGTTAGGAATAGCTACCATCCTGTGCTTCCAGATTCACAACTCTCCTGCAGTACGAAAAGAGTAGAGGCTTGGAAATGCCTCAGTGACAGACCCTTTGCTCCTGATGTCTCCAGACAGCCAGTCGCTGCAGAACACTTCGAGGTACTACAGCAGTTTACCGGCCTGTATTTCCAAAGTTTGTTTTCAAGATGAGCATTCTCCCATTTGAAGGTGTTTCATGTTCTCAAGGGCCAATTTAACTTTATCTGTATTGGCAATTTCTTCATTTGTTTCATTATTTATTTTTAATTTTTTTCCTTACCTCATTCCTGGTCTGCTGTTGCTATGGAGAAAAGTAACACCCTGATCAATGCTCTTTCATGAGGAGCACATTACATGCAATTTCCTTTAGCAATAGAATAAAAATTCCCAGTCTATACAATTATTGCCCCATTTAATTAATACTACTAATCTTGCCTCAGAAATAACCTCAGAAATTGTATAAGGGAGGGCCACAGAGTGTGAACTGGGACTAATAAGTAACATCAGTGTGTTAAATATAGCACACACACACACAAATCATTCTTCAAAGTCAGCCTCAAAGGCTGTTTAAACTAGTTTACTTAGTTTCTTGCTATTATAGCCATTGGCGAGATAATTTGCTTTCATTTCACACGTATGTGTAAATTGTCTATTTCAGCCTTTATTTTTATAGACTAAACAAAGATAATTATGTTCCTTCTCAACAGAATTAAAAGCAAAAAAGCCCTGACCCTGACCAGCGTGGCTTAGTTGGTTGAGCGTTGTCCTACAAAGAATCAACATGGCTGGGTTGTGCAGTCTGTCCCTGGTGGAGGCATGTATGAGGGGCAACCAATATGTATTTCTCTCGCCTGGGTGTTTCTTTTCTCTTTCTCCCTCCCCCTCTGTCTAAAAATAAAGAAATAAATCTTTTAAGTGTAATAGTTGCCCTCAGATTCAGGGAAGTGGCCAGTAATATAGAATCGCATCACAATTAAAACTGGTCCTCAAGTCATGTAAAAATGTATTAACAATAATAAATTTCACCTAAAATGTGAAGAGTAGGGGAAAAACAGCAGCCAAAAACGCACCAGTACTTTTTAGGGTTTGCTTTCAGGATTAAATGTCGACCTTAGCAAGGCCTGGAACAGAGCCGTCATACAGAGGGTGCTCCATGAATTTGTGTGGATAACATCTGAAGCTACACGACGAAAGTTAAATACGACTACGTGGTATTTCGCTCACACAAATCCCTCAGGCGGCCACTAACCTCTATGGCCAACTCCACTACGGAAAGCACTAGAATTCAAACTGACGGTCTCAGATCTCTGCGAGCCAAATGTAAAATACTTCTTTGCTTTATAATGGAGAAACTCTTAGTGTTTTCAATTTTAAAACGCAAGGAAGACGGGAAGAAATATCGACACACAATATATAGGCTGGAAACACCCAAGCCGGGGCCTGTACCCCTGCGAGGTCTCCTCCCGGACCCCGCCGGAGCGGCATCTACGCGACCGGGATTACCTGCAAGGCTCGGCCTCCAGCCCCGACGACACCCACTGGCGTCCTGTGGACGAAGTACGGCCACCTCCTCCCGACCCCAGCGTAGAGCCCTAGGCCCCAGCCCGAGCAGGGGCCCCGCAGCCAGTCCGGACCCGAGCCCTGGCCCTGACGGAGGGTGCGCAACAGCAGCCACGCGGCCGCCATGTTGGCTCGGAAGCGGCGCCGGCGCAGTCGGAGCCTCCTCTGTGCGTCTGCGCGATCGGGCAACCGCGGAGGCGCTTGCGTGGCTGGCAACGCAAAGGCTTCCTTTCCTTCATCCGGCTTCCAGAGTTGTGCGGCCTACTGGCGCCGGTCTGACTGGGATTTCCCATTGGTTTATTGAGGTGCCACCCGGTGCTGGGGACCGCGAGTATAGCTGCAGGCTGGCGGGCCCGAGAGGAAAGGTATAGCGACCCGGCGCGGGGCCGCTCGGGGGGAAGGATTGACTGCAGGTAGGGTCGGGTCACCGAGTGGAGCGAGGAAGCCGAGGGTACGTGAGCAGACCGAGGAATAGGAATACGATCCCGACCCTGCCACGTTTTGGAGCGAGGAGCGCGGAGAGGGCACGTCTCGCAGATAGATTAAGAGGAAGGACGTGGAAAAGGAGGGTGTGGAATAACCCCAGCTCGGGCAGATGTCTGGGATCTCGCCCTACAGATGTTTAATTTTGAGTAGACAACAATCTTCTCAACTATCTTCTGAGTCGTTTCCGAAAGTCATTCCCAGTCCAGATGGGCAAGATCGCCTCCCGGATACTAGAGTCCACTCGCTGCTTTTGGGGAACGAGCAGTGAAGAGTGTGTTTTCATCCCAGACTCAGGCAGTGCACCTGGGGGGTCCTGACCTTGGCCGGCTTCTTCCTGAAGTTACCCACCCCTTTCAGGCCGACCTCTGCTCTGTGGTTGAATGCTTAGTTCTGAGACTGCTGATTGCGGAGACCTGAAAAGCTTGTTGAGCAGGAAAAGCAAAGACTAAGGTGAATGTATTATGGAGGTAGGGTTATGGTGACATACTTGTTTCTGTGCTTTTCTGTATTCCCTGAATTCCCAAGGACGAGTCATAATAATAACCATTTTCCTGAGTGCAAACTAGTGTCTGGCTCCATATCAAACATTCCTATCAAGATCTATTTTAAACATGAAGAACAGACTCAGAAACATTCAAAGTAATCTGTCCAAAGTCACATCTGAGAAGTGATGGCACAGAGTTTCAGACTGGGGCTCACCGGTTTCTGGATCACTCACTATTATGCCTTAAGTATTACAAAGTAACATGTATGATTAGTATATTCTTCCCCTCCCTACCCCCTGAAACTGGGAAGGTTTGAGGACATTGTTTTTTGTTTCTTTGTTTGTTTAATTAAATACCCTGATTATTGGTCCTGGGCTCTCTGGCAGCCACTGCTTTTGCAGAGGTTTTTATTTGTGGTTCATTGAGCAAGCAGCCACTAAGCAGAGAGCTGCCCCTGAGTTACGCAACTGAACTGTCCTTCTTTTTGTTTCAATTGTCCTCTTACAATTTTCCTTCACAAACAATCCATTCTCCCCAGTTTCTTCCTTTTTTTTCCACCATTTTTTTTCTTGGTTAAATTGTCCCACCCACTTTCTGCTATCTAGCTCTCTGTGTCTTGCCCTCACTCTCTCCACAGACCAGTCCTGTGACTGTAACCAAACTTACCAGAGTGGTTTCTCGTGCCTTATGGAAGCTTGTGCAAAGCCTCCCTGACAGGAAGTGACCAAGCTCCTCACCCTCAGGCCTGTTCCCTCATCACCCAGTTCAGGGGGTTTGTGCCTCAAAGCCTCTAACGAACTTGAATGTGTTTGGGAAAAGTACAAGATACAATCCCATCAATATTGTTTGAAATAAAATTGTTATTGTGCTTCAGCCTCTTTGCCTGGTGACTCATTTGTAAGCAGTGCAGGGTGATGGCAGAGGGCCAGCTTCTGGGGAAAGAACACTGGCTTCTGTCCTTCTCAGCCTATGACTTAGAGCATGTTATTAACTTCTCCAAGCCACAATTTTCTCATCAGTAAAATGGGGATGATAATTATCTACCAAGTGAGGCTAATATCAGCCTTGGGTCTCCCACAGAGTTGTTGTCAAGATAAAATGCAATTAAAGTATGTGAAAGCAACTTGTGAACCAGGAAGGCGTTCAAATCCAGGAGTTACTCCTAGGATGCCGTGGGAAATGAGGTTCTGGGAAAACAGACTATTGATTCATTTATTCAAACATTTATTTAACAAATATGTTTTGAAGGCTGGCTGTGTCCCAGGACTCAGGTGAGTGGTAAATCATGACTCTGAACCCACCTGCTTCAGTCCCACCTCTGCAGTAGCTCAGAGCAGAGGCTCCTGTGCAGTAGGGATTGAAAGATTCAGGTACCCCATGCCCTGGACCTAGAGGAGAAGGCTCTGTAGAAGAAAACTGGCTCACTGTATCTAACTTGGCTCTCAGGCCCTGCTTCATCTCCCACCAGGACATCAAGTTCATTTTCAGCCATTTCTGTCACCACTATATTTTTTTGGAACTTCGCAACTTCTGTTTACTAATTTGTACTTCCTCAGCTCTCTGAACTCTGTGTTCATCAGGATGTTTCAACGTGGCTTCCCTTAACCGTCTGAGAAGCAATCTCACAGTGAACACCCAGTCTGATTCAGGGCATGTCCTAGGTCTCTGCACTGCCACCCTGATACCAGATGCCATTTGTTCTAGATCCAGTTCAAGATCCATTAGCAAGCCCTGACTGGTGTGACTCAGTTGGAGTGTCATCCCAGAAAGCGAGGTCAGGGCACATGCCTGTGTTGTAGGTTCGGTCCCTGGTTGGGGCTCATGCGAGAGGCGGTTGATCGATGTTCCTATCTCACGTGGATGTTTCTCTCCCTCTCTATTAAGAAAAAAAATCTGCCCTGGCTGGCATAGCTCAGTGGATTGAGCTCGGACTACAAACCAAAGGGTCGCGGGTTCGATTCCCAGTCAGGGCACATGCCTGGGTTGCAGGCCAGGTCCCCAATGGGGGCCACACAGGAAGCAACCACACATTGATGTTTCTCTCTCTCCCTCCCTTCCCCTGTCTAAAAATAAATAAATAAAAATCTTTTTAAAAAATCCATGAACAAAACGAGCCTCAGGAGCTGTAGAAGGGCCACTCTCAGCCTGGGCTGCCTTAAGGAGAGAGGAACAGAGAGTGCATCTGTTCCACTCCCATCCTGAGAACTCCACCCTCTGTTCCTCAGCATGGTGGAGTCCTTGCTCAATATTAGCTAAAGGGCTTCAGGCAAGCTGCTCTTGGAACATCTGTTGGTGCCTTGCCTGTAAAATAGGAATAAAACCTTAGCAGTCCAGAGACAGAGGTTGATCTTTTTGGTTTTAAGATCGAGTCTTCCTTATTAATATCAAAATAAAGAATTACTTGCTCCTTTCCAAATTAGGCAGCCTGGCAGCAACTAAACTTCTAAACATTTTTTAAAGCTCAGTTGCTTCCACACTTACCCTGGCCTTTGAAGCCTTTGGACTGTTGCACAATATAATTGCTGCACTGTAGTCATGAAGGTGAGCTCATCCTACTGAGGCTAAGTCACACAGCTTTGAATGACCTGGTCTACAACTAGGCATTTGCCTAATATTAGGGTGTCTTCTATAAAATATACACTCCCTTGTGGAATGTTTGAATAAACTTATCTCTGAATTTTGTTAAATTTTGTTCTGAACTAAAGATCTGTCTTAGGAAACTATTCTTCTCATCACTTGTGAACTGGGTTTTACTCATCACACGTGCAACAAGAAGTCATAATCACAGATTTCGTTCTTGAAATGATGAAAGTCCATTTCTACTAGCAAAAACTGTACAGGAATTTGCATTTGACTAATTAGCTGCACACTTCACAATATTTCTTAAGACTGGTGTGGGACTTTGGACAGATATTTAGGAGAGAGCTTGAAAGGGCAGGGTCTGTAACCTCTTCTCATAATTTTAATTCCATAACTGGACAGTACTTAGCAAATTCATCAATTTAGCCACTTATTCTGTTGATTGTATCAGCTATCTATTACTTTGCAACAAATTACCCTAAAGCTTAGCAAGTTCAAACAAGTAGTGCTTATCTCATACAGTTTCTGAGGGACAGGAATCCAGGAGTGGCTGACTGGTTAGTTCCAGCTGCTCAGGATCTCTCACATGGGTGCAGTTGAACTGGCAGTGCTACGATCATTTGATGCCTGTCTAGCACTAGAGAATGGGCTTTTTAAAAAATATTTTATTTATTTATTTTTAGAGAGGGAAGAAAGGGAGATAGAGAGAAACATCAATGTGTGGTTGCTGGGGGTCATGGCCTGCAACCCAGGCACGTACCCTGACTGGGAATTGAACCTACGACACTGGTTTGCAGCCCATGCTCAATCCACTGAGCTACGCCAGCCAGGGCGAGAATGGGCTTTTAAGGTGAAACCCTCCCCTGGCTCCTCACCAAGTGGACTCTCCATGGGGCTGCTCCCATGATATGGTACCATGTGGCAGGGATGACCTTAGGGGGCAGGGGTCATTGAGGGTCAGCTTGGAGGCTACTGACCATAGTGATGATTATAAAAGATATGTGTTGTTCAGACCTGCTCAGCAAAATGACCCAATTATGTGATCCCAGTCTTTCATATTGTCACATTAATGACACATTATTGGTTCAGGAATGGGAAAGTCAACTGTGGACTATAGATTGGAGATATAGCCAATTTGATCACTGGCCACAGCCCAGAAAAGTCCTTCCTTGGGACTTCTATTTGAAGATAGAGAAGGGACCTTGCCTTTGAGGTGATGGAATAGAAGGATAAATCCAGAGTGTTGCTGGCACCTTTCCCACCCCGAGGAGAAAGCCAGCTGTGATTGGAGAGAATGTGGCCCACACAGAGAGTGGGGTAGCCGAGGCTACAGGAGAGACTTGAGAAAGCCTGTTTGAGTCCCTAGATCCAATCACTGCAAATGAGATACCTCTTTCTTTCCTTATCATGAGTCTACCCCCTTGTTCTGAGGCAAGTTTACACTGGATTTTCATATGTTCAAGTTGGGGCTTTCCTATCCAGGTCTGTTAGCTACTGTGGAGTCACTGCTGACCAGCAGTCTAGGGTACCTTCTCAACTCCCCAGTGTGGGTTCAGAAGCCTCATTTGGGTTCAGTTACCATTAAAGAAGGAGCACGTCTGGTTGTCCAGTTTATAGCCTATGCCTACAAGTTACTAGCCAGATAGCTCTCTGTCCCAGGGGTTACTTATTATGGGAATGATAAGCAATTTATAGCAAGAAAAAGTTAGCTTGTCTGTATATGGCCTCTCAACAGTTTTCAGTTGAATGTGTCATGTAGCCAGCAGGATTCTCTATTTGCTTGTCTCTGGCCAGCAAATGTAGCCAGTGATTAGACTGGCTATATCTCCACTCTATAATCCACAGCCGGCAACTGTCAGCAGAGCTGCTCCATTTAGACATCTTGAACAGAGTATGCTGTCTCCCTAAAGGAGGACAGCCCTAGGCCTTTGTGATTTTCCAGTAAGGCACAGAGTATTCTCTAGCTGACTGGGCCTGAATCCTAAAAGTCTAGGGTCATGATGGTTTTTCAGCAAATCAGTGGTGGATCTGCCTTTGTACAAGTTCCCATGAACCACATTGAATTTGGACAGCCACAGTGTGGCAGGGAAAAAGATTCAGTGGCAAGTGAGTGTTCACAGATATCCCTGCCTTTTTTTATATATATCCCTGCCTTTTCTGCCAACCTGCTAAAGAAAATCTTGCTTTGCCAATTCAGAATTTCCTGCTCTGTCCTCAGAGATTGCTAGTCCATTCCTGAATGTTTGGTAATGCAGAACAAAAAGAGAAAGGACAAAAATAGGTCAAAAGAAAGGAAGAGAGATGGAAGAGAGATGCAAGAGGATGGAGAAAAGCCACATCAGAACTGTTATGGTCCTAATGTAAAGATGGTGGGCAGAGGGGAAGAGGGAGTGAAAGGGGCCAGGTGGGTAGAATTTCATGGGGTGAGTTTTTGGAGAGACTGGTGAAAGGCTCCCAAAGCAGTTATAGAGAATGAAGAACTAGAGAGAAAAGGAGATTTTTATGTGTAGCCAAGTCCCATATACTGTGGACATAGCAGTGAGCAAAATGATGCTTGTCCTCAAGAAGCTTCCATTCTAGTGGCAGGTGTTGGGAACTGGTGACCCACGCATCAGGCAGGAGAGAGAAAAAGTAAAATGAGTCAATAAAGCACAATGAGAAGACTGTAAGTGGCCACAAAGACAAATAAAGCTTGAGATAGGGTGGGGTCAAGGCCAGCTTTTCAGAGGAGACTTTGAAAATTGTGTTGAAATATATATGATACAATTTGCTATTTTGAAAGGGGACTTTAGAGCAGTAGTGAAGGTAAGAGTGTCTTCCCAGAACTGGGAGTGTGCTGGGACGAGAGTCATGTGTGGTGGAGACTGGAGGAAGTGGGCAGGGCTGGGGTCAGGCCCAAGCTGGAGTGGCCCAATGGTGCCAGGCTCCACTGCCATTGTCGGGACCCTGTCTTTGTGCTTGAGATGGAGGGTGTGGAGGATTTTGAGCAAGGACTGATTGTTCTGTTGTAAAAGCATCATTTGGCCTGCTTCATGGTGAATAGAATTTAGAGAGCCAGATGTGGGGAGAGGGAGAGCAGGGAGAGGCTGCCACACCACCAGAGAGAAAGATGCTATTTGGATGGAAGTGAGGTGGGGTGAGAGGAACTGGTCTTCAGGAGGCACAAGAAAGCCTGGGTGGCTTCCTGTTTGCCTGGGTGGCTGGCTGCTTTGCTGGACCCACAGTCCCATGGAGGCAAGGCGGCTGGCCAC